CAGCATTTCCTTCAGGCTGAAGAACTTTCTTTAGCATTTCTTGTGAGGTAGTTCTGATGGCGACCTCTTCTCTTAGTTTTCGTTTCTCTGAAAATGTCTTCATGTGCCTTTATTATTGAGGGATATTTTCTGAGTTGACAGTTTCTTCTGCTCTTTAAAGATAGTGACCTACTATCATCTTCAGTCTCTGATGTGAAATCCATGGTGATTCAAATCATTCTTCCTTTTATGTAATATTCCATTTTTCTCTGAATGCTTTTATATTCTCCTTATCTTTGGTTTTCAGCAATTTTCCTATGATGTTTTCAAGCATAGTTATCTTTGTATTTATCCTGCCTGGGGTTTACTGATTCTCTTTGGATCTGTAAATTTATGTCTCTCAAGATATAGGCTTTCCTCAAATATTTGTTGATTCTTGGTTTTGTGCTCGTGTGTGTACTTGAGATTCTTTTCTTAAAATTGTTTATGCAAGAGGCTGTGTTTGTTGTATACTCACCCTGGGGGGGAGAAATAAGACCTGTGGCCACTGCCTGAATACCTCTTTCTTCAGGGGCATGAGGAAGTGGTGGGCATGCTGCTGAACAGGAAGAGCTAGTAGCGAGTGTTCTGAGTGTAGGAGTTTCCTGATTGTTCTAGGTTTCACCAGTCACATGGACACTGTCCTATCTATTAAACCAAAAGTCCATATTCCACCTAGAGACAGATACCCCTATTGCTATCATGCATACTGTAATCTCTAAAGCACCTGGTAAAAAAAAAAAAAATAATGCAAAGAAGTATAGCTAAAAAGCCATACATAAATTAAAATGGAGTCATAAAAAATATTCAAATAATAAAAAAAAGAAGGCAAGAAACCAGAAACAGTGCATGCATCTTTAACTTTCCACATTCTACTTAAGTTTGTATTATACCAACTCACCTGCTCCTGTTGTGATACTCCAATAATTACTTCATGATTTAGTCTGGACTCCTCCCTGCTGCTGATAGCCAACTCCAGATGTGCAACACTTTTGGTGCTGTTACTACCTTCTGCAGCAGCCCTGTCTTCTTGTTGTTTGGGGCTGTCACTCCTTTCTTCTGTCCAATCCAGCCTCCTATCCATCTTTCAGGGAATCCTCATGAGTTCTGGACCATCAATAGCTAAACTTCTTGTTTTCCAACGCATTTGTGAATTTGATTATTTTAAATATGTCTTTTCTGCCAGGTCTAGGGATTTGTGGCATTAAGAGAAGGCTGAAGTATGTGCCCAAGCTGCCATTTTAAATCAAACTTGCTTTTCTTCTTCTTCTTCATTTCTTTTTTAAGGAAGTATTGGTGACAACAGCCTACATTAATTATGTAGTTAGGTAAAGAAGGAACACAAGCAATTCTAAGTAAGATGGTCTGAGAAAGGAGCACCACAAATTCTCAGTCATAGTAAAGGGGAGAGAGAGTTTGGGAAGTTCAGATTGTTCTGATTATAAAACAACGCTAAGCTTGCAAAATTCATAGGTTTGATTTCTCACAAGTTTTGCTTGTTTCATGTAGGCTTTGAATTTGCCGTGAATGTCTCCAGCATTTTCCTTGAATATTTAGAATTGTTGGTAGCTTCTGCTTTCCAGCTTATCCGATTCTAAAGTTATATTCAAACACTATCTTGTGGGTCATTCCTTGCGTCTCCCCATCCCACCCCTCAAACTCTCTCATGGAAATATACCCATCCAGAAGAGTTCCAGTATGTTAACTTTTATTAAGCGCTAACAGCTGTACTAAGAGTTTTACATATATCATCTCTCTTAAACTTCATAAGGACTTGAAGGAAGTACTATTAATTCTGTGTTAGAGATGAGTAAAACTGAGGCCTAGAGGGTTTATAGAACTTGGTCTGAGGTCTCACTAGTAAGAATAGGAGTAAATTTTTATATCCCAAAAGGTTGCCTTCAGAGCCCTTGCTTTAACTGCATCCACATGTAAAACTAATAAATCTGAAAACAATACAGTGTGACACAAAGTCTGAATAAGTCACAGAAGCAGTAGAGAAGAGGGGATAACTGTTAGGAAAGGGCATTAGGGAAGGCTTCACAGATATGTGAGAAAGTGGTCTCCTCTGACTGAGGATTTGAAGGATAATCATTCCATAAGACAAATGCAGCTGGGACCGTATGCCCGAATCTAATAGTATAGGAACAACCTATAGTTGTCTATTGTTTGCCCGGCACCCTACCTTCTTTTGCGGAGCTACTCATCACTCTGCTGCAACCATATGACTCTAATAGAGGTTATCAATCATGGTGCCCTTGACTCCTCACCTACTCTAAGCCAATACGAGCACATGGGGGCCCCTGGAATTTTTGTGCTTGAAGCAGAGGGCTCAGTGCTATCTTCCCTAATGACAAAGCTGAGGTGTATATCCGAATGCTGCTTCTAGCCACTTGTTCTCACCTGGAAGACAGTTTGGAGTAGAAGAGAATAAGGCCAAACAATGAGGTTCCAGTCCTCTCTAGGCCAGCTGCACTGCTGATCTTCTTGTAGTCATAACCATTCTTGCAGAGCTTGCAGGTTTGGGTTTTAACCCATTGCAATCACACAAGTTCTAATATTCTCTCTTCTGTCACCAACTGAAGAAGGGGCAGCACTGGCCTTCCTTATCTCTACACAACTTGAACGACAGCATGATACATTTTCATTACGAAGGATAGCACTATTAATTTATTTTGGAAAAATGGCATCTAGGGGGTTTATTGCAAATAGTGTGGCTTAAAAACCTTTCTGCAGTGTTCTCTTCTTACTTCATCTTAAACTCTATTCCTGATGTCTAGTCTATTCTCCTATATCCCCTCATTTAAATCACTGCAGTCTTCTAAAGCAATCTCTAGATTTATTTCTTCCTTTAAGTTTACTTGAGGAATCCAGTCAATTATTTTTCTGAACTTTGATTTTTTTAATCAATCAAGTAACTTTTAATTATTGCAAAGGAAAAAAAAGGACAAAATTCAAAATGATAGAAATTAAGAATCACCCATAATCTCACTACACAGAGAGTATCATTGCTATTGATATATTTCTATCTCTTCTTTCTTGTATGTGCAAACACAAAATTTTTTAAAAAACCAAACAAAATGGCTTATTTGACCTCTTCCTCTCCCAGCCGTATCTACAATGCCTTTTTCATTTAATTGTATTTCATTTGTACTATTTCCTAATCACTTCAATATTCTGTCCTGCAAATAACCAGTATCTTCGAAGCTGCCTAATTTTCCAGTGAAATGGGGAGCAATTCCACATCCCTTGGCCTGGAATGTTCTTTCTGTCCTGGTTCATCTACTTATCTCCTACCATTCTTTCGATCTTAGTTCAAGAGTCACCTCTTTGGGAAATTAGATTAAATTTGTGGTAGTATTATTTGCAGTAGTTGTAAAAGTTATAATCCCTTCCTATGTTTGGGATAATCTGAGTCTATATGTGTTTTTGTTTACTACTGGATTCCCACTACTTACCTGAAGTGCCTGGCACTTAGCAATTGTTAAAATGAATGAATGACTACTTGGAATAATTCTGCTGCTTAGAAAATACTTCCTTAATTATAAAAAGTAACATCTACTATTTAAGAAGTATTATTGCATGCTAGGCACTCTGCTAAGTGCTATATATCTCTATATAATTACATTTTCACAATCCTAAAATGCATTATTGCTCCTATTTTACAAATAAGGAAACTGAGGCTTCAGAAAAGCTAATTAACTTGTCCAGAGACAGAAAAAAGATTTGAACTCAGGTCAGTGCACTCATTTCCATTATTAGCTTCACTTGCGATTCCTGTCTTCTTTGTTCATGAATATAAAAGTCATCATATATAGTTTATTTTCACAATCACTCAAGTTTTACATTACAAACTTCTTTTTGTTACTACTTTTTCTCAAAGTAGGAAGCAGAGCACCTAGAATAAGGGGCAAAGAGACAGCATATTCTATTGGGAAGGGCAGCAGGAAAGGTAGGTATTCTCCCTTCCCCCTTCACTGACCAGCTGTGTGGCTCTGGGCTTCCACAAGGAAGGCTACAAAAAAAAAGAGTGAAGCTGAAGGGACCGCCCTTAAGAAAACATCTAGTCCAACTCTGGTTTCATAGCTGAGAGAGACTGAGTGGCTTGTATAACTGACAACGTGGCAGAGCTGCACAGCCAACTCCTGACTGCTCCTGTTGTTTGTTCTGAGTCACACGACCTCTCCTTGAACAAACATTTACTGAATGCCTGCTGTAGTACGCATTCATCAGCAGCATGTTTCCCATTTGGTATTCTAGCATCGATTATCGGCTACTTTCGTTCCTCCCTAATTTTTTTCACTTGATCTCTTTTAAAACGGCCCTTGGATGAAGAGTTAAAAGGGGAAAAAGCGTAGTGCAAGCCTGGCATCAGGCACTGAGTGGCGTGACCTGGTGAGTGGCGTGACCGGCCGGCAGCTGGTCCCACAGTAGCGACCTAAGAAGGCAGTGACACCTTCCCAGGAAGGGAGGGACTCCCAGATAATCCGGGTGCAGGGGGCAGGGGAAGGGTGAGGCTGCGTCTCCGCGAGACAACGCCTGTGCCTTTCCAGTGACCCTACTGGTAGGGCGACGGGAGGAAACTCTCTTCTGTGCGAGTAGCCTAAGCATTTGGCTTCTGCTGCGTGGTGACCGGCTGCCCAAGGCATCCGGCCAGGTCTCCTGAGCTCTGTCTCGGCACCCGGGTTTATCCTGAATTCGTCTCCTGCTGCCAGGAGAGCGACGTTTCTACCTGGGCCACGGCTGACGCCAAAAGGGGCATTTCCACCACAGCTGGTGGCCTACAGTCCCCGGCCTCTGCCTTTCCCCGCCCCCGGCTCGCGCAGCCTGCCCCAAGGCCGGCAGGGTCGTGCTCCCTTCGTGCGCCAGGCTAACGCCACAGCTTAGGCGCTGCCACGCGAGGCCCGCTGGGCAGACAGCAGCCAATCGTCGTGAGGCATACACGAGCCCCAGCCAATCCACGCCCGCCTTCTTCCTGGGTACCGCCCGGGCCGGCCTCTCTCCAGCCCCTCTCCGGCGCGCATAGTCGCGGCTGTCGCTGCAGCCGCCTCCGGAGCTGACCCGTGTCTGGGGACCGGCCCCTCGTGGCGCCGCTCGTTTTCTCCTGTGGCCTTCACTAAGGATGAGTCCCTGCGCGCCTGTGTGCCCACCCCGCGGAGACTACTGGCGCACTTTCATCTAGCGACTGGTGAGGGAGGGCTCGGCGCGGCGGACCGTGCGGAGCGGGCGGAGACGACAGCGTCCCTTCAGCCCGGGGGCGACCGGACCGAATTCGCTTTCTGGAGGGTGCGGGTGACCGCGGCCGCCGGTGGCGCGTGTGGACGGCCCGGCGGCGCCTAGGCTGCCAGGCTTCGCGCGGGGCGGCGCGGGCCGGCCGAGTGGCCAGGTCCCCGCGGCCGCCTGCCCGCTGCCTCCCTCCGCTAATGAATGGTCTTTGCAGGCGACGTGCTGCGTCGCGGTCCTGCCTGACACGCCCTCCAGCGATGGCTCAGCTACTTTCAGAGTTGCCGGGTGTCGCTTCCCTTCGAGCCTTGAATCTGAAACCGTTTCTCGAGGCGTTATCCCCTTCGTGGGGTCACATAGTTTTAGTTCACTCCGGAGATGCTAACTGTGAAGTTTAGCGTGAATTGACTATTATGTGAAAAGGGACCGCTTCGTTTTGGGGGGATGGGGGAGATAGAAAGGAGAGAGGACTTTTGTTCTTGCATCATGTCAGGTTCTAAAAAAGTTTAGTTCAGCAGTGAAATGGGTAAGCCTGGACATCCTTGACTCCTGTTTAAAGACGTACTTAAGAAAACTTAGTGTGTTAGTCAGACAAGAGGTTTTTCAGGAAGTAGAGACTGAAGAGGCATCTTTATTTTTTTCCTTCTCTCGAAGTAGGGTGTTGAAAATTGAAATTTATCAGAAATGCTGAAAGACTGTGACTTTTATGACTAGTAGTGTTTCTGGGCCCATGATGTATAAATTCACATCCTTGCATAGCCCCTTCTTGATTTTTTCACTTCTTTTACTATTTTGAGTTTCTTGATTTTTATTGGTTTTAGAAACTGATACTAGGGTAGATGAGAGCAGAAGGAGCTGTTTTCTAAAAATAATTTATTGCACACATTTGCAGGAACTTTAGTCAAAGTGGAGTTTACTTCAAGAAGTTTTAAAAAATGGCTGTTCCATTATTTAAAAAAATGTTTGAAAAACTTTTACTGAGGGCTTTCGGTATGCTAAATTCTATATAAGGAATTTATTACGTCTTTAACTGTCATTACGCTTCAGGACGGTGAATTTCAATAGACCGTGAATGAAGGTACCTGTTACATAAAGGAGCTCAGGATTACTTGGTTAATTACTATAAATGATATCAGAGTTAGTTTACTGTCCTTGGTAGGGCAATAATTCTCTGCTCCATCTAGAGATGTGCTTGCCCCCTAAAATTTGGGAAATTTTTCTATTGTGAAACTGGGTATTGTACCCATTAAGTTTTGAATTGAAGATTCTGTCTCTTATACCAAGAGAATATTTGAGGAGACATTAGAATAGCATACAGTATTGACAAAGGCTAAATCATTAATTTTCTAAAGTAGTAAGTGCTATGCTTATGTTTTAAAATTATGTGAACTATTTTTAAGACTTACAGAAGGAATTTAAAATTTTTAAAAATTCTTTCATTACGAGTCACTATAATTTGTAGCTTTGTAACAGTTATTGAATTTAATATAGATACAAATTTATAGGGAAGATATTTTGGTTTTAGAGAGCACTTAAAAAAAAAAACCTACTTATTGGATACATGTTATATTTTGTGAGAAATATGAAGCAGTATAGAATTCACCCCTCTCTTGTCCCTTAAAGAGCTTGCAATCTTTATGTGTAGGCAAGGTACACACTTGCAAGGCAGGTTATCATTTTGTAGATGAAGAAATTGAAGATTAGGGAAATTAAGTTACTTGGCCAAAGTTTTGGATAGTAGGAACCCAATTCTTATGACTACAAATAAGGGTGCTTTTTTTTTTTCTACTACACTATTCTACTTCTTGTTGAAGATTTCCCCACTGCATTTTGAGAGAGCAGTTTGGGCAGAGTAGACTGGGTAGAATCTAGAGTACACTTTTCTATCTGTGTGGTTTTGGATAGGCTAAACTTGCACATCAGCTTCCTTGTGTAAATTGAAGGTAGTGGTATATACAGGGGCAATAATGAGGCTGAAAAGAGGATTAAATTAGTTAATTTATGTAAAGCACTTTACTTATTCATATGAAAGTTCAAAAGATGGTAGATATTATGGTTGTAAGTGCTGGACAAGTTAGCCGCCTTGTAAAGTTTTAGGTGAAAAGCATTCCAAGCAGAAAGGACTCTAATACAGTTATACCATTCTCTGATCTTTATACCAGTATGTCCCTTTTCCTCCCTTTTTAACATTTGTTGGATGCTTACATATGAATGAATTGTCTCACTTATTTTTTAGAACTATTCAGGAGATAAATAGTTGTTATCCCCTTTGTACAAGTGTGGGAATTGAAGCTTAGGAAATTAAATGATATGTCCAGGGTCATTTAGTTGTTAGTGGTGTACCTGGGTTACTAGCTCAGGTGTTCTGAATTTAGAGTCTGAATTTGATATGCCACATGGTCACCAGGCCTAACTGGCATCCTTTTCCTGAGGTCACAAAGCTATTCTTAACACATGAAATATAGATACTGGTTCATTTTGGGCTTGGATATGTCAGAGAATAGCATGATCAGATTTGTGTTTAGGAAGAAAACTCTTAACCAAGGATAAGTAGAAGGATTTGAGCCATTTTTGAGGTTTGCACTCTACTGGCTGACACCTTTGTGGTGGGCCAGTTTTCAAGGTTGAACAGTTGCCACTCTAGCTACACTCCTGCAAATCAGTTTCCCATTATCACTTAATATAGTCATCACATAAAACAAATTTTCACCTTTAATTTTTATTTGTTCCTTAAAGTTTGTTTTGCTTTTTGTGATTTTCAAATTGTTTACCCCTTATTCTTCTTCCCAGCTGCCCTATCTGTAATCAAGCCAAAAACCTGGGAGTTACCACCACATCTTGTCCATTCAAGATTCTAGATAGAACTCTGAATTGCCCACTTTCTTTATCCCTAAAGGACGACACGTAAGACTGTCAATAATCTAGTCTGTCCTTCCGTATCTATTAGGCTTCACTCATTTCCGTCTTCTGAATTACTTGGAATTTTCAAAATAGACCAAGATGATTTTAGCACTTTTATATTTACCGTTCCTTCTGCCGCGAATCCCCACCTACCCTGAATTTGTCGGGCAAACATATACTCATCTTAAGTCTTAGTTTATACATCTCCTGTGGGAAATCTTCCCTATATCCCTCTTTTCATTCTCCATTCCTGTAAGTCACTTGTTCTATCTTTTCCATTGGTTTATAATCATGATATGTTTTTATTACTTGCTTAGATAAAATCAGTCTCCTGTACCTAATTGTGACCCTTTGATGGTAAAGACTGTGTAATAGATAAGTTTTTTTTCATTCAATACAGTTGATAAACATGCTATTTTTTCACTTAAGTATTATCCATGAACTTTTACTTTATCCTTTTATCTAAAATCTTTAAGTCCTGTTTATTTTTGTATCTCCAGCATCTTATGACCTATTGTGGATGCACTGGAGAGGCAGTGTAGTATAGTAGACATAGCTTGGACTTTGCTGTTAAACAGATTTGTGTTTGAATTCTAACTCCTCTTTTATTGGTGCTATGATTTGGGTGGCTTACTTAACCCTCTCTATGATGTAAAATATACAGTATGTACTATGTGCTTAATAAATATTTATTTCCTTTGCTTTCTTTGCCTTCAGTAAGCATTAGTTGAATGCATAAATAAGGTTTACACTGGGCATTGGAAATATGGGTCTGGAATTTGGGAGAGATGTGGGGGCAAGAGACAGATTTGGGTATTATGAGCATGTAGGTTAAAGTTAAAAACATGCAAGAGATTGAAATTATCTGGGGAGAATATGAAGTAGAGAAGAAAAGAAGACTGAAGATGGACTGAGGGAAGCCCAACATTTGAATGTCAGGAGAAGGGATAATGTCTTTGGAAGAAGGGGTGGGAGAGAGAGCCCATGCTTAAATGCTTCAGTAGCTCCCTACTCTTCTTTTTTTCTTTTAGATTCCTTAGGAGAATGTGGTGTTAATGACTCAAAAGCAGGGAAGTCAAGTAAGATAAGAACTGGCAATTAGGAAGTTATTGGTAACAGTATATGTAGTTTAATTGGAGAAGTATGTATGGAAACTAGGGAGCAGAGACTTTGAAGCTCAACTTGAATTTTGGGATAAAAGTTTGTTACGTTTTTTGTTAACTGAAAAATAATAGTAATAAAAGCTGGTATTTGTTGAATGTGTATTTGCTGCCAGGCACCATGCTAAGCAGTTTCGTTTTATTGTTACAGTAATCCTGTGAGGTTGGTGGGATTGTCTCCATTTTCAGATGAAGAAATGAGAGTTTGGAGAGATTATGTAATTTTTAGAGTTACGTAACTGGTAACAGCTGGCATTGCTATATTTGAATCCAAATATGTAGGACTCTAAAAAACACTAGCTTCTAGTCACTTCAATATTTATGTTCAGTATTCCCTTGTGCTTCTCCATATATTATAGTGTGGTATCACTTTTATATTTAATATTGCCTTTTTTTCTCTTTAAATGTTTAAATATAGTAACAAATTAGAGAATTCTATTGTACCTTAATTCTTTCATGAATAGTTTGAGTGAGTCACCAGTAAGCAGTTCCTTTCAGGTATTATGAATCAAGAAGGATTCCATTGAAAATACAAAGGTGGCAAAATTTTAGAGCCTCAAAAGAATGAAATTTACTGCATGTGACTATTTTGCCATATATCATGTTTTCCAGTTTTAACATTTTAAACTACTTGCGGCTTTGGTACCTTTTTCTTTGTGTCAGCTAATTACCAAACTCTTTGTTTGTTTTTTGGTTCAAATCAGTATTTTAAGGTGGGGATGATTTTTGTAAGGACTGTATCAAATCATAAAATGTATAGACTAGTAGAAACAGAACTGGAGCTAGAAAAGATTAGGAATCATCTAGTTCTGTGCTTCATTTCCAGATGGGGAAATCAGAATAGTTAAGAACTAGTTTAGGTTTAGGACTTCTGACTCTTAATGTGTTTGAAATGGAAGTGGAAAATGCAGATTTGGAATGTTTCATGTCTAGGTCTGGTGCCCAGAAGTTTCCCCTATGTATAATAAACTCATGTATGTTCCTCTGAATAGTTTTCTTATAACTGTTTTTATCTATCATTCAAAGTATATATTTTAAAAATGAAATTAAAAAATATTTTGGGGAATTTAAATATTTTAAAAAAATTTATTCAATTTACTTAAAGCAAGGAAAACAAACAGTTCACCCATTCCCCGCACCCCCCTTCTACCTCTGGCAACTACTAATCTGTTCTCTGTATCTGTGAGCTTGGTTTTTCTTTTAGATTCCACATATAAGAGAGATCATACGGTATTTGTCTTTCTCTGTCTGACTTATTTCACTTAGCATAATGCCCTCAAGGTCTATCCATGTTGTTGCAAATGGCAGGATTTCCTTCTTTTTTATGGTTGAATAATATTTCATTGTATATATATACCACCATTTCTTTATCCATTCATCCCTCGATGGGCACTTAGGTTGTTTCCACATCTGGGCTCTTGTAAGTAATGCTGCAAAGAACATAGGGGTACATATATCTTTTTGAATTAGTGTTTTCATTTTCTTTGGATAAATACCCAGAAGTGGAATTGCTGGATGTGGTAGTTCTATTTTTAATTTTTTGAGGAACTTCCATATTGTTTTCCATAGTGGCTGCACCAGTTTACATTCCCAGCAACAGTGCACAAGGATTCCCTTTTCTCCCATGTGCTTGCCAATGCTCATGTGTTGTCTTTTTAGTAATGGCCGTTCTAACAGATGTAAGGTGATATCTCATTGTGGTTTTGATTTGCGTTTCCCTGATGGTTAATGATGTAGAGCATCTTTTCATGTACCTGTTGCCCATCTGTAAGTCTTTTTTGGAAAAATGTCTATTTGGATCTTCTGCCCTTTTTTTTTTTGAGGAAGATTATACTTGAGCTAACATCTGCTGCCAATCCTCCTCTTTTTGCTAAGGAAGACTGGCCCTGAGCTAACATCCGTGCCCATGTTCCCCTACTTTATATGTAGGGCACCTGCCACAACATGGCTTGACAAGTGGTGCGTAGGTCTGCACCTGGGATCCAAACCGGCGAACCTTGGGCTGCTGAACCGGAACGTGTGAACTTAACTGCTGTGCCACCAGGGTGGCCCCTGCCCATTTTTTGATTGTGGTTTTTTTTGTTATTGTGTGAGTTCTTTATATATTTTGGATGTTAGCCCCTTATCGTATATATGATTTGCAAATATTTTCTTCCATTCAGTAGGCTGCCTTTTCATTTTCTTGTTTGTTTCTTTTGCTGTGCTGAGGCTTTTTAGTTTGATATAATCCCACTTGTTTTTGCATTTGTTGCCTTTGCTTTTGGTGTCAGATTCAAAAAGTCATTGCTAACACCTGTGTTAAGGAGCTTACTGCCTGTGTTTTTTTCTAGGATTTTTATGGTTTCTGGTCTTACATTCAAGTCTTTAATCCATTTTGAATTAATTTTTGTGTATGGTGTAAGAGAGTGGTCCAGTTTCCTTCTTTTGTATATGGCTGTCCAATTTTCCCAGCACCATGTATTGAAGAGGCTGTCCTTTCCCCATTATATATTCTTGGCTCCTTTGTCATAAATTAATTGACCACATCTATGTGGGTTTATTTCTGGAATCTCTCTTCTGTTCCATTGTTCTATGTATCTGTTTTTATGCCAATACATACTGTTATAGTTATGTAGCTTTGTAATATAGTTTGAAGTCAGGGAGCATGATGCCTCCAGTTTTGTTCTTCTTTCTCAAGATTCCTTTGGCTATTCAGGGTCTTTTGTGGTTCCATATAAATTTTAGGATTATTTGTTCTATTAAGTATTTGTGATAGTTTGATACCTGGGAGAAGGGAATTTACGTAGAATGTCTACTATAATAAAAGCTTTAGAATCTAGATATTATGAATGGATTGACTACTCATTTTAAATCCAGAGGACAAAAATACTGAAGGAAGATAAATAATTAGGAGACAGTAAATAAAAAGATGATGGAGAAATGCTTGGTGTAAAGTAGTCTGCTCTAGATGTAAGATTTCGAATATATTGGTGGTTAGTTTTCTAACAGGAGGTGAAAAAACAGAAGAATAGTAGCTGATCAAATAGTTGACAAATGATATTTCATTTCTCTAGATCTGAATGCGGCAAAGCAGACAAGGTAGCCTATTGGAAAAAAGGAAGCTAGAGGCTCATATATAATGGTTGCATTTTCTATATTTTCTTACAGCCTCTCTAATAAATGTTAGTATTTATTTATAGTTTTTAGACATTTATTTTTGAATAGGTATGCATGCACATGGTAAAGCATGCAGAAGGGGTTTGTAGTAAAAAGTAAGTCTGCCTTCCATTCCTGTCTCCAACTATTGGTGCCCTTCCTCAGAGCAACCACTGTTAACCATTTTCTTGTGTATTATTCTAGACATCTTTCATGCATAGTCAAGCATAAACATGTACATACATATGTATTTTTCTCAAATTGTATTACAAATGCATCTCATTTTAAAAGACATTTTATAATATATCTTGCAGATTATTTCCAATCAGAAAATATATAGCTATTTTATTCCTTTTGATACATGAATAATATTCTGTTGCATGGACATACCATAATTACTTTTAACTAGATTTTTTCCATTCTTTACTTTTGCAAACAGTGATGCAGTGAATGTTCTTGTACTTATGCTGTTTCACACATAGATTTATTTTTACAGGATAAATTCCCAGAAGTAAAATTGGGTCTTAAAGGAATGTGTATTTTACATTTTGATAAATACTACTAAATTGCTCTCCATGGAGGTTGTACTAATTTATACTCTCACCACCGATGGAGTAGAGTTCCTATTTCCCTACAACCTTGTCCATATATAATAATATCAACCTTTTTGCTATTCTGATAGATAAAAAATGGTATCTCATTATAGTTATAATTTGCATTTCTTTTGAGTGATGTGAGCCCCCTTTCTTTTCAAAAGTCCAATTTCATTTTCTTACTTTTTGAGAAATGTCATATTCTTTGACTTTTATTTTGTCGATCTCTTAATGATTTGTAGAGACTTTATTAAGGAAGATTTTTCTCCTTTTTTGTCTTTGAAATTTTTTTTCATGTAGGTTTTAAACTGATTGAATTTATTATTCTTTTATAACTTTCGGATTTCAGATCATACTTAGAAAGAAAGGCCTTTTGTGCTTTGAGATTATAAAAGAGTCTTCTGTGTTTTCATTTAGTGCTTTTATGGTGTCATTTTTATGTTTGTCCTTGACTCATCTGGAATTTATATTGATGTAAGGTATAAAATAAGTATTTAAAGTTATTATTTTCCAGACAGCTGTCTAGTTGTTTTGATACCTGTTGTTTAATTATCATCTCCTCCTATGGTGAAGGACTGTCCAGACAGAGAGAACAATGTTAGCATAGTGCCTGGCTCTTAGTGAAAACTAAATGGTGAGAGTGTTGGTTACTGTGGTGGTCGTGGTGGGTGGTGGTCATGATGATGACGATGTAGTTTTAAGGAGTAAAGATTTGGGATGGGATTCCTGTAAATACGATAGATTTAAGTGTGTCTATAGTTTGTGGGGACATAGCTAGCAGAGTGTAAAAATACAGGGGGGAAGGAATGAAGGCTCTGGAAGGAAAGGTGGATTCCAGAGTACAGACACAGAGGTTACCCTTAAACATGAGACTGGAAAAAAAGAGGTGAGGATAACTAATGTAGATATAGAAAACTATAGATGTGAAGGTAAAAAGTTGACAGACTTTTTTTTGAAATAGGAATTGAGGAGACTTAAATATGGAGGTAGTTGTCTTCTAAGGTACTTGAGGAGAGTGAGAGATAAATTTTGTATTTTTTACTTTGTCTTCCTTTCCCCTTCTTTTGTAGGTCACCCTTGCAATTATGGATATTTAAAAGGAGCAGACAGTGTGGAGGGGGAGTTCCCCTCCTCACTCCCCCTTGGTGCTTGACTCCAGGAATAATTTATAAACTGTGGATAGTTTTTTTTTTTAAATAAAGAACTTGTATTTGATATAGACTTTATAGAGCTATTTATAATTTTTTGATTTAAGTGCCAAAATAAATTGTACAAAGATATATAGTTTTATATTATTGCCGTGAGGATTTAAATTATAATCCTAAACAGGCCATTTATTCTCTATAAATCTTTCTGAATAGCACCTTTGTGTCCTGGCTTTTTCATTTTTTAAAATTAGTCTTAACTGACTCTTCTGAAGAAGTAAGCGTATAAAAACAATCAGGATGAATTCTTCCATCCCTGACTGCACATCGAAGTGTCAATCCCTGAAGCATGCTTTGGATGTCCTTTCTGTGGTAACAAAGGGGAGTGAAAACCAAATTAAGGCCTTTCTCTCCAGTCACTGTTACAATGCTGCAACTATCAAGGATGCCTTTGGCAGAAATGCCCTCCACCTTGTTTCCTCCTGTGGAAAGAAAGGAGTCTTAGATTGGCTTATTGAGAAGGGAGTGGATCTGTTGGTGAAAGACAAGGAGTCAGGATGGACAGCTTTGCACAGAAGCATTTTTTATGGACACATTGATTGTGTTTGGTCTCTATTGAAGGTAAGTGTCATATGTTTGTCTAAAACTATTTGGTCTGAGAAACATATGTTTCTCTTAATCTTTTTCATACACCTCACTTAACTTGCCAAAAAAGGTTTGACTTTGTTCTTATCGATTGATACGTTTTACTATTGTAACTCATCTTTAGAATTCAAATCCTGTATTTTCTTTATGATGTAAAATTTTATACGTATACCAGTTTACAATATATGATGAATTATTAACCAGTTTTGTGTTATGTGTGTCCCCACTGACTTTCTCCATCTCTTATTATTTTGAAGTAAATCCTAGACATTTTATCATTTAATGAGCACTATGTATCTTTTAGTATTTTTAAGAAATATGGTTTACTTTTATGTAACTGTTATTAGCTACTTTAGAAGGACCCTTGTTATTGAAATACATCACTTAGGGACTATGTTTTTGAGTAGTGTGTTTATTTCTTGTTTGGCTAGGATAAAGTGTTTGTAGTTCTAAAAAAATTTATTAATTAGAATCAGCTTAATTTATTTGAAATTTCCCCATCAAGTAGATTAAATCTAGGTTTGTTGTACTGTATAGCCAAATAATGAAGTGTTTTGAGATATGCCCCAATGTCATTTCACTAATGAATGCAAATTAAAAACTCACTGTCAGAAGTCATGAGTTTTAAACTGAACAATTTTCTTTTGTATAGGCATTTTGTCATGTTTGTGGAGGACCCAGAAAAGAAGAAAATAGTTCCCATCTTCAAGGAACTTGTGGTCACATTAGGGAGCTTATCTTTGGTGTCTTCATCTATTTTTGACTTTTAAAAATTATTTACATAGTGGTCTTTACATAGTAATATTAACTGATGAAAATAATTTTCAATATATGTTAATGTAAAATATCCTTTTTGGAACTAAACTAGGTTTGTTGCTTAATGAGTTGTCTTGGACAAGTTGTTAAATCTTGAACCTCGGTTTCATTGATAAAAAGAGAATAATAATAGTACCTTCCTCATTTTTTTTTAGGGAGTTTCAGTGAAGAAAAAGCTTTTCTTAAGTTTAGTAGTTGTACTAGTAGTTCCTCTTATATCTAAAACCTTTGGGTATTGGTTTAATTCCCTGACTGTAATCTTTTTTATAGAGAAAGCTTGGTTAGCATAAGTTAAAGCATTTATCAGCTCTCACCCTTTCCCACCTCTAAAACTTCAGCTTTTTTCCAGTTTCCTGGAAAATTAGATGGCTGCCAATCCTGTCAAGCTTGAGAGGGTCCTTGGATTTTCTGCTATCCTAGGGGTTGCCATTCTGGTGTCAGGATTTGGGGCTTCAGTTTGAAATAGGGTCTGGCCTGAATTTTGGACCTTCTCTCACTTCTGAGTTTCATTTCCCTTTAGAAATCCTCAAGCATTCTTACCACTTTGACTAAGAGAAGCCAGGAAATTGTGCCTTGGGCCACCTTGCCCTTGGCTTGACTGTGTTTTATTACCATCAGAGTCCTACTGATTAATGAAAGATACCTAACATTGGATGTATTCCACTGATAAAATTTTCCCGCAGGAACCTCTTTGGTCCATTTAGTATTCACTTGTCATAAGCTATCTTCATTTGTTTGGCACATCCTTTTGTCCTTTGGCCTTTCAACACTCCTTTAATTGGAAGGGCTGCAGTGATAGAGGTGTTCATGTCAGTTCTACTTCTCATGAGAACTATAGCACTTAAAGTATTATGGATTGGCAGGAAGAGACCATACACAAATACACATTTTAAATGAATTGCATTTGATAAAAACTTTATAGCTATAACATTTTTAATTAAGTGCCAAAATATACACTAAATATGCACCCAAACTATCAGTTCCTGATAGCTAAAGATGAAAAAACCTTAACAGAAACTTGTTGTCTACCAAAAGCTGGAGTAGAGACAACATATCTTATGCAGCTTCTTTTTGGCTCCTTGATTCCATGACTGTGCATGCCTGGCAAAGACTTTTTATGCTTGTAGGGTCTTGCTGTATCTGTTATCACTATATCATTTTTTTTATTTTTGAGGAAGATTAGCCCTGAGCTAACTCTGCCAATCCTCCTCTTTTTGCTGAGGAAGACTGGCCCTGAGCTAACATCTGTGCCCATCTTCCTCTACTTTATATGTGGGATGCCTACCACAGCATGGCTTGCCAAGCGGTGCCATGTCCGCACCCAGGATCCAAACTGATGAAACCCGGGCTGTCGAAGCGGAATGTGCTCACTTAACCATTGTGCCACTGGGCCGGCCCCTATACCATTGTTCTTTAATACTGGTTTACTCACGTTAGTATTCTGGAAGAACTTACTTTCATTTTCCTCATTCCTTTAGAGTTTAAGGTGAGCATATTAGAAGGCATCTGAACCCACCATATCCAGGGAGCTCTAAAGGGAAAAAAAATGTCCATAGTCCTTTATGGAGTTGTGGCTACCTAGGATGATGCAAATGAATGTAGTCTTACTAGGGTCTAGTTGGTATATATAAAGTTTAGGGACAAATTTATAAAACTGGCAAAATAAACTTTCCAGGGATCTAAATTTCTGGGATCTCGTTTGTCAAATTTATAGCTTGGAACACTCTGCCCTGGGATCTGCCCTTCTTATTTCTTCTTATAAATGCCAAGTTCAGGTCTTCCCACATAGATTTATTATATCTAACTTTTTAAAAGTAGTAGGCAACATACAATTTTAAATTTGTTAAGATCTTAGATCACTTTAGATTTTTGTTTTACTTGGTAGCTCACTAAGTTGAGCATTTTTTGTCCTTTGACAGTCCTTGTGAAATCAAGTATTATAACCATGTGGAACATACTGAAGTTAGAATTGATTTTAGTTTATTAGGAATCCATTGTTACAAGATAAGAGGAGATTTCTCTTTCCTGAGTAACCCAAAACAGAGTATTCCAGCATATCACAGTTAGAATTTAAACTTTATGGTCCATCTCAGCCTGTAACTACTTAGGTAAAATATGTGTCGAGACAGGCAGTGATGACTTGTGCCAGTTAAAATAGAGATAAATATAAATAATTGTTGAGTGTCTTATTAAACTATCAGCAAATACTAAAAGTTATTCTTGAAAAGGAGTACATTTTGTATTTAAAAAACTTTAGTGAAGTAACAATAATATGAATTGAATATTGCTCTCTGTCCACCCCTGCACCCCATTATATTTTAAAAAACAAAAAATGTGGTGGTAGGGGTAGGGTGTGCGCACTGCCTTCAATAAATGAGACATGTCTGAATTTAAATTGTGGAGATATAAAATTACAGATGACTTTAAATTCATCCTTGAAATAGACATACACACATTCTCAGATTTTTTTAAGATAACTATATGTGATTTATAAGAGGCCACAATTAAACAGTGCTATAAAAATTTAAAGATGAAAAAAATATATATCACAAATAGAAATAAAAGAATAGGGACCTGGCCCCATGGCTGAGTGATTAAGTTTGCGTACTCTGCTTTGGCGGCCCAGGGTTTCGCCAGGTCAGATCCTGGGCATGGACATGGCACCGCTCATCAGGCCATGCTGAGGTGGCAGCCCACATAGCACAACCAGAAGGACCTACAGCTGGAATATATAGCTATGTACTGGCGGGCTTTGGGGAGAAGAAGTAAAAGAAAAAAAAAATAAAAGAATATAATTGTCTTAATATCAGTAATAGGTATAATAAAATTCAAGTCAGAAAGTGATGGGGCATAGGTGATCACATTATATTCATAAACAGTAAATCCCAGTAAAAGTTTTGTTTTGCCCTTGCCTTGAAATCTTTATGGCCCTTACCTGGACATGGAGTATGGCTCTTTAAATACAAAGAGTGTGTGGGTGTACACACGCACAATGTACACAGAACCAGAGCTAGGGCCTTCTAGGCAACCAGACCTGCCTTACCATGGAGAACTTTCACATCTAATTCATTTTGATTTTTTTAAAATTTTTTTTTATTAAGGTTATGAAAGTTAACATCCTTGTGAAATTACAGTTGTACGTCATTATTAGTTATGTTGTAGGTACACCACTTCGCCCCTAGTGCCCTCCCCCCACCCCCCTTTCCCCTGGCAACCACCGATCAGTTCTCTTTGTCCATATGTTAACTACCACCTATGAGTGGAATCATACAGAGTTCGTCTTTCTCTGTCTGGCTTATTTCACTCAACATAATACCCTCAAGGTCTATCCATGTTGTTGTGAATGGGATGACTTTGTCCTTTTTTATGGCTGAATAGTATTCCATTGTGTGTATGTATATATATATATATATATACACACCACATCTTCTTTATCCAGTCATCAGTTGCTGGGCACTTAGGTTGGTTCCATGACTTGGCTGTTGTGAATAATGCTGCGATGAACATAGGGGTGCATGGAACTTTTGGAATTGCTGATTTCAGGTTCTTAGGATAGATACCCAGTAGTGGGATGGCTGGGTCATAAGGTATTTCTATTCTTAACTTTTTGAGGAATTTCCATACTGTTTTCCATAGTGGCTGCACCAGTTTGCATTCCCACCAACAGTGTATGAGGGTTCCCTTTTCTCCACAGCCTCTCCAACATTTGTCACTTTTGGTTTTGGATATTTTTGCCATTCTAACAGGTGTAAGGGTGTATCTTACTGTGGTTTTGATTTGTGTTTCCCTGATGATTAATGATGATGAGCATCTTTTCATGTGTCTATTGGCCATCCATATATCTTCTTTGGAGAAATGTCTATTCATGTCCCCTGCCCATTTTGTAATTGGGTTGTTTGATTTTTTATTGTTGTGTGACTTCTTTGTATATTATGGAGATTTACCCTTTGTCAGATAAATAACTTGTGGATATTTTTTCCCAATTAGTGGGCTGTTTTTTTGTTTCAATCCTGTTTTCCCTTGCCTTGAGGAAGCTCTTTAGTCTGATGAAGTCCCATTTGTTTATTCTTTCTGTTGTTTCCCTCATGTGAGGGGTTATGGTGTCCAAAAAGATTCTTTTGAAGCTGATGTCAAAGAGTGTGCTGCCGATATTCTCTTCTAGAAGACTTATTGTTTCAGGCCTAATCTTTAGGTCTTTGATCCATTTTGAGTTTATTTTAGTAAATGGTGAAAAAGAATGGTTGATTTTCATTCTTTTACATGTGGCTGTCCAGTTTTCCCAGCACCATTTGTTGAAGAGACTTTCTTTCCTTCATTGTAGGCCCTCAGCTCCTTTGTCAAAGATTAGCTGTCCATAGATGTGTGGTTTTATCTCTGGGCTTTCAATTCTGTTCCATTGATCTGTGGACCTGTTTTTGTACCAGTACCATGCTGTTTTGATTACTGTAGCTTTATAGTATGTTTTGAAGACAGGGATTGTGATGCCTCCAGCTTTCTTCTTCTTTCTCAGGATTGCTTTAGCAATTCGGGGTCTTTTATTGCCCCATATGAATTTAGGATTCTTTGTTCAATTTCTGTAAAGAATGACATTGGAATTCTGATTGGGATAGCGTTGAATCTGTAGATTGCTTTAGGTAGTATGGACATTTTAACTATGTTTATTCTTCCAATCCATGTGCATGGAATGTCTTTCCATCTCTTTATGTTGTCTATTTCTTTCAAGAAGGTCTTGTAGTTTTCGTTGTATAGATCTTTCACTTCCTTGGTTAAATTTATCCCAAGGTATTTTATTCTTTTTGTTGTGATCGTGAATGGGATTGAGTTCTTGAGATCTTTTTCTGTTAGTTCATTGTTAGCATATAGAAATGCTACTGATTTATGTATGTTGATTTTATATTCTGCAACTTTGCTGTAGTTGTTGGTTGTTTCTAATAGTTTTTCTATGGATTCTTTGGGGTTTTCTATATATAAGATCATGTCATCTGCAAACACCAAGAGTTTTACTTCTTCGTTGCCTATTTGGATTCCTTTTATTTCTTTTTCCTGCCAAATTGCTCTGGCCAAAACCTCCAGTACTATGTTGAATAAGAGTGGTGAAAGTGGGCACCCTTGTCTTGTTCTGTTCTGAGAGGGATGGGTTTCAGCTTTTGTCTGTTGAGTATGATGTTGGCTGTGGGTTTGTCATATATGGCCTTTATTATGTTGAGGTACGTTCCTATTTTATTGTGGGTTTTTATCATAAATGGATGTTGGATCTTGTTGCATGCTTTCTCTGCATTTATTGAGGTGATCATGTGGTTTTTGTTTCTCATTTTGTTAATGTAGTGAATCACGTTGATTGACTTGCGGATGTTGAACCATCCCTGTGTCCCTGGTATAAATCCCACTTGATCATGGTGTATAGTCTTTTTGATATATTGCTGTGTTCGGTTTGCCAAAATTTTGTTGAAGATTTTTGCATCTATGTTTAATTCATTTTGATTTTAAATGTTATTTATTTTATTTTCTTATATTTTCTGGTCCTTCCTTATTCCACCAAGAATTGGATATTTGATTTCTCTTATTTGTTCTCTTCTGTCTGTGAGCATGGGAGATAATTATTATTAAATGTTTATTTTTTTTAATGTGTGTATTGGCTTGATCATCTGACTTTTTGATATATAAAAATAAGAAATTACTGATTATAGGTATATGGTTAAAATACACATGTATACACATACATGTTTTGTTTTTCTTTCTTTTTTTTTTTAGCATGGTGTTAGTCTGTATATTCAAGATAAAGAAGGCTTGACAGCTTTAGATCTTGTAATGAAGGATAGACCAACTCATGTAGTATTCAAAAATACTGGTAAGAAAATTCCACAAATATATTCCATTAAGGTACAGCTTAGAAAGTTTTAATGAAGTTTCATTCTTATTAAAATACCTGAGAAAATTTATTTGTGTGTGAATATCTGCAAATAACTTTTATTTTCGTATATGTTGGTTGATAATTTTGGTTTTCTATTCAGAACACTTTATTTTGTATTTTTCAGTTTCAATCTATAGTGTGTCTATAAGAGTAAATACACAGCCTAGGGAAGGCAGTTAGAATTGTACCTACTGTAAAGTAATTAGTGTGCATCCAGAAAGTAACATCAGCATTTGAGGTAGAGGGATAGAGGAAGTGATTCTTCTACCCACACATTCCTCTAATTTCACTTATCCCTCCAATTTGTTTGCCCTTTGGACTTTGGAAATGGAAATTGGTTAAAAGTAGAAGAGATTTAAATGGGGGCACTGTATAATTTGAGTTTACCTAGTGAGCAAGCTAAGTAAGGACACATTCTTCATTGTTATTTCTAATTTGGACCCTGTATTGCAGGTTACCATTATAATTCCATTCAAGAACTTTATAAGCCTTCCAAAATAAAAATGAAAATTTATATCATAGACTTAGCTGTGATTAAGTTTTATCCCAGTTTAGTGGGTGTTACCCTAATCACTAGTGTGATTTGCATCTATAGTTTGCAAGAGTGAACTATTGAAAGTTAACGTTTCTATAAGAACAGTAACCAATATCATGTTTGCTTCATTTAGAACTTTTATATGTATATATTAATAACATATTTAAATAACTATATTATTTTCATGAAAACTAAGAGGATATGGCTGGTGGTATTTACTCATTTGGCAGTTAAACTTTAGCTGCTAAAGAAACAAGGGACAAATGTTAGATTGCTTACATTGAGACAGGTGCTAATTTGGATTTTCTGATTTCTATTCCTAGAATTATGTAATATATTAATAGATTCATAATTTAAAAAACAACGTTGGTCTTAAACCAATAGACAGCCAGTTATTTCCCCAGCAAAATTGGTTTATTTGGGATTAGTAAAGAATTGCAGTTTGGGGGCTCTACAACCATGGTAAGCCACGTGTGTGAGTCCCCCACAACACAAGGAGGAGAAACTTTTATAGAGGAGGAGAGGAAGTTGAGAGGGCATTTGTAAACAAAGAATTTGAGGTGTAGTGACTTTTTATTGGCTGAGTTGTGACAGTCTCTCATTGGCCAAGCTTTTTGCCAGTCAAGAAGAGGAAGTCTTTCTTTTTCCTGTTGGGATGTACTGTTGACTTGGGGCATGAGATCTACCCTGTTTGGCCCCCTGACTCCAGTTCATCAAAGTTTCTGTTTATTAATTTTCACGTTTTCCCTTTTTGATTGAGATCTTTCTCTGAAAATATCACTGATCAAGAGTCAGATTTTTCTTATTTCAGCAGCCTTTTGTCCCTCGATGCCAGGAAGGACCATTCTTGGGTGTTGTGTCTCACATTGGAGGGAAAGTGCACAGATTGGAAACCTGTTGTGGCCACATTTGAGTAACAAGGAGGGGTAGGCGGGAGAAGTCTCAGGCACTTTTTATGTAAATTCCATATGTTATCAAGATCATAGGCAGTAGAGATCATCTGGGGTGTTATATCATTAAAGGTTTGGCAGACAAACTTCCAATAGGCCTGGTCTGAACAGCTTAGGAAAGCTGTCTCAGCAGATATCTTCTGCTTCAGTTTTGGGAAATCTCTGCTTTCAGGTCACCAGATGATGTGCATGTCCAGTCAGGGTTTGGTGCTTTCCTTAAGTGTGTCACATGAATCCAAGAAACTATTCCCTGGAGTTTTGCGGCACAAGAGTTGGTTAACAGTACATGATAGGGGCCTTTTCAGTGAGGTTGAAGAGTCCTTCTGGAGGTGTCTTTTCCAATAGCTGAAATCTCCAGGTTGCAAAGTCTGATGCTTAAGGTCTTTGTCTTCCTGGAGCACACTGAGAAGATTGTTCTACCAAAACATGGTTATTTTTAATTGAAGCACTTGGGCCTTTGCAATTTTGGAATATATCTCCTTTTATCAGCTGTAGATCAGAAGAGGCAGGAGCCAAGTGCACTGGGCATCCTGTGACTGTCTCAGAGGGTGAGAGTTTGTGAATTCCAAAGGGAGTGGATGTGAGGTTTGGTAGGACTGATAGTAATGCTTTTGGCCAAGGTATTTGAAGGGTCTCTACAAATTTTCCCAATTGAGTATTAATAATGCCATTAATGCATTCGACTAAACCAGAGGATTAAGGGTGGTAAGCACAGTGAAAATGTTGTAAAACTGGCCAGACAGTGCAGACTTGTCAAAGTCCCTGACCAGTAAAATGGATTCTTTGATCACTGTCAAGTTTGAGAGGAGTTTCCCAGGTAGGGATAGTCCTTCCCAAAAGGACTTCAGCCACGGTGAGGCAGTAGCCTGTCTGCAAGAGAAGGCTTCAGTTGAGTGAAAAAACATACAAACCACGACTAAAACATATTTTTATCCATGAGATGGGGGAAGTTGTATGAAATTCATTTACCAAACCTTGAATGGTCCATTGGGCAGTTAAAATGTTCAGGAGCAATACAAACAGGCTTCCCTGGATTGTATTTTGGACAAGTGAAGTAGGTACTTTTTGTGGCCTTGTTAATAATTCCCCACCAGTATTGATTCATGAATGTTATCATTTTGTCAGTAGATGAATGGTTAAATGCATGTACCGTGGTTAAGAGTGGAAATTTTAGAGTCTCTGGTAGGACTGGGTTATTTGGTCCATACCAGAGCTTTCGTTTTTTATCAAACCAACAATTGTTGAATTTCCAGTCTTGTTTTTCCTTTTCTGAGGCCCATTGTTGGGCTTCTCTAGTCAGTTTTTCTAAGTTATCGTCTGGAGAAATATCCCTTTGGAGCATGACAGAGGCTTGGCTGTTGTTGGTTGCTTTAAGGGCTGCATTTCTTGCGGAAATGTCAGCAAGGTGATTTTCTTGAGCTTCCTGAGAGTCAAGTTTAGAATGCCCCAGAATCTTAATAATAGCTAAAGCAACAGGTAAAAGTATAGCATCCAGGGGGCCAGCCCAGTTACATAGTGGTTAAGTTTGTGCGCTTTGCTTCTATGGCCTAGGGTTCACTGGTTCGGATCCTGGGTGCAGACCTATGTGCCACTCATCAAGCCCTGCTGTGGCAGGCATCCCACATATAAAATAGAGGAAGTTTTGCATGGATGTTAGCTCTGGGCTGATCTTGCTTAAAAAAAAAAAAAGAAAAGAAAAAAGAAGAAAGTATGGCATCCAATAATTCCTGGATACAGGACTCATTTTTGATTTTATTTCTGCTGGAAGTAAGGAAGTCATGTTGCTTCCACAGCATTCCAAAATCATGAGCAATTCCTAAAGCATATCTACTATCAGTATTGGCAGTTTTGCCCTTGGCTAAAGTACAAGCCTGTGTAAGAGTGTACAGTTTATCGGTTGGGCTGAAGTAGCCGTAGGTAAAAAGTGCTGCCTCAGTGACATCAAAAGCAATTGTAATAGCACACACAATATAGATTTGCCATGGTCACTTTTTATATAAGGACCATCAGTGAACCATAAAAGTTGCCATTAGCCAGAGGAGTTTCCTGCAGATCATCATGAGGAGTCAGGAGGTGATCTCTCCTTAAGCAGTCATGAGGGACTTCGTCAGTAACAGAGGGAAGAAGAATAGCAGGGTTATGGTTATTATAACATAAAAGAGTTATGTGAGTAGCAGTTAACAAAAGGATTTTGTAGGAGGCGAAGTGGCTGGCTGAAATATATTGAGTAGGATGAGAATTCAGGAGGGCTTCCACTGCATAAGGTACAAAAATGGTTAAAGGGAATCCCACAGTGATTTTCTCGGTGGGCTTAACCAAAAAGGCAGTAATGGCTCTAAGGCAAGGGGGTATCCCTGTGCCACAGGGTCCAGCTGCTGACTGTAATTGTGGGTCAATGGTGGTCCCCGTGTTTTTGGATGAGTACCCCAAAGGCATTCTTTTCCTTTTCATATACAAAAAGGAAAAAGGGAATCTGATAATTGGGATGTCGAAGGGCATGTGGGTTCATCAAACTCTCGTTTAAGGCCTTAAAGGCTGTGTTGTCTGGTTCTTCCCGTAAAGTTGGGTCAGGGTTATTGTTCTTTAGTAAAATGTAGAGGTTTGGCTATAAGAGAGAAATTTGGAATCCAGTTTAGGCAATAATCAGCTAGCCCGAGAAAACCTGGCAGCTGGCACTTAGTTTTGGGTTTTGGGAAACTTAGGATACCATGAAGCCTATCTGGATCTAGGTATAGCCGTTGTTGTGATATCAGATCCCCTAAATATTGAAGCTGGGTTTGGGCAAACTTCAGTTTTCTTTGGCGACCTTATGTCCCTTTAAGGCTAAAAGTTTTAGAAAGTGGATGCTGTCTTCCTGTGAGGAGGCTTGGGAAAGAGAGCAAAGAAGCAAATTGTCCACAAGTTGCAACAAAGTAGAACCTCTAGGAAACTTTATATCATCCAGAGCCACCTTCAGGACTTGTGAAAAATAAGGGCTCTGAGTAAAACCTGGAGGCATTACTGTCCAGGTGAGTTGTTTTCTTTCCCAAGTGAAAGCAAAAAGGTATTGACTAGCTTCTTCAACTGGAATGCTAAAGAATGTACTGCATATATCAATTACTGTAAAGAATTTGCTTCCAATGGGAATTGATGCTAGTAGCACATGAGGGATAGGAACCAACAGGGTGTTGAGGGATAACAATGTTGTTTATTGCTTGGAGGTCCTGGACAGTCCTCTACCCTCGGCCCTTGGGTTTTCTCACAGGTAAAATAGGAATATTTCAGGGACTAGTACAAAGGATAATGAGGCCTTGAGCCTTGTAATCCTCTACTATGGGCTTTATACCTTGAAGGACTTCTTTATTTGTAGGGTATTGACTAATTCTGGGGAGGGGTTTTGAAGGATCTATTTGAATCTTGGTGAGAGGTGTGCTGTGAATTTTACCAGCATCAGTTGAAGATTTTGCCTAGAAGGAAGGTGGTAGTTGATTCAGTAGGGACAAATGATCAGTGTTTAGAGAATCAGCTCTAGTACCGTCAGAGACTGAGCAAATAAAAAGTGTAAGAGAGTCATTTAGTTCATCTGGTTGGCTGTTTTGATGGCTACTGTCAAATTCTAGAAGTGTTTTCCCTTTCAGGAGAAAGAAATTCAGGCATGATAGTTTTCCAAGCAGTCTTGGCCTAATAAGTGAATAGTGGCGGAGGAACTGAGGAGAAAAGGGTATGTGTCTCTCAAAGGGCCTAAACAAAAGGGAGTAGGTTCAGAGACAGGAACCTTTCGAGGTTTATTAGAAATCCCCACTATTTGAACTGTTTTAGTACTCCAGGGTAGGGGCTGCTTTATAGTAGTGGAGTTGAGTACTGAGTGTGTGGCTCCGGTGTCAATTAGGACAGAAAAAGATTCATCTCCAATCTAGAGAAATGTTTCTCCGAGCCAACAGAGAGGATTGGGTAAAGCTCGTGTAGTTTCTCAGAGCCCCGTCATTGAGAATTTGGAGGACATTTGGAAAGGCTGGTTACAGGGCTGAAGGTGCTTGAATTGCCTAAATTTTTAGCAGTCTCTTCTCCAATGTCCTGGCTTTTTGCAGTAACAGCAGAAACCAGGAGTTTTTTGGTTTCGTTTAGGGCCTTCATATGCTAGAGTTGAAGATTAAGAATTTTAGCGGTCTTTCTTTTAGGTGACTCGTCTGGAATGCGAGAGCGTTGGTTTGCCAGATTAACTAAATCTGGAGTGGATATACTTTTCCATTCCATCCTTATCCTTTTTACTAGAAGGGAAAGGTCCTGGTTCAGCCCATTAATAAACATAAGGTTAAAAGATATCTGGGTGGAATCAACATCTGAAAGAAGACCAGAATTTTTTTTTAAAAAAATCAGAAGTAAATTATAATAGTCATGAACAGGTTCATTGGGTTTTTGTGTACAAGCCCGAATTTTGTTCCAATTGACAGATTTTGGGAAATCCCTGTGGAATTGCCCAGGGAAGTCATCTGGTGATTGCCCAAGCCTGATCATACAGCAGGTCTGCAGCTTGGTCTCCTAGTTGTAATTCTAGAGACCTTTTAGGATTATCTCAGTTAGCAGTTTTTATCCAATGCTGGGTCTGGCCTTCACTGACAAGCATATGAACTAGTTGATATAAGTCAGAAACCAGGTTGATAAGTTTGAATCACTATGTTAAATTCTTGAGCAAATCTGTGAGGATCTTTGGTTTCTTTGGGGCAGTCTTTGACTGTGGCTCAAAGTTCAACTTTAGACCAGAGAGTATAAGAAATTAAGGGTTTAGCCTGCGGATCCTCAGAAGGCTTAATTTAAAGGGACAGGTTCTGATAGGTTCAGAGGAAGTGGGAGTGGGGAAAGGTTCAGGGAAAAGGGAGAAGTTTGGCAAGAAAGTTAGAACGGGGGAACTGAGAATATAGAGGAGGTGTAGGCAGTACAGGAAGGAAGGAGGAAGATGGTGCTGGAGGTAGGGCCTGAGCATGAGGAGCTGAGAGAGGAACACGATGGCGCCAGAGGCTGAGCCTGAGGCAAAGCCGGTAAAGAGGGACAGGAGGCTTCAGAAGCCATTTTATCTTTCTTTACTTCTTTGCCTCAGTTAACCTTAAAATTTTACTTTGCAAAGAAGCAATTTTAGACTCCTGATAACCTTTGGGAGCCTCAAAATACCAATTGAAATAGGTGTTCCATTCAGTTTTGGAAATTACAGAGTTATGGTTGTCCAATTTGGTTTTAAGAAAAGTTCCCCACAATGGCCATGATATTTTAAATTATTTTTGGTTAAATAGGTCCATTTATTTAAAAATGAGCATCAGGAATAACCTTGATTTTCAAACATAAAGTCAACTGGGGTCCCTGTAGGGGGGGCACTCTCAAAATATTTAGATAACTGGGATTCCATTTCTTAGAGATTTTTTCCTAGAGCGAAAGAATCCTCCTCAAATATCCTAAACAGCTCAAACAGCTTAAACAGCTTGAATAGCTCAAACAGCTAGCCCACAGGTGTAATACCAGCCAGTTCCAATAGAACAGTCCTATTTCAGCAAGGTGGACCGCAGGTTGACAACGTAGTTCCAAGGAACAGTGTGCTCCCGTGGGAGTCAGGCCAAAGGCTGGACCAGCACAGTTCCATCGAAAGAGTCCACAAGTTGGACCAAAACCTAGCACAGTTTCAGTAGAAACAGTCTGGTTCCAAAAAGAATCAGACCGAAGGCTAGCGCAGTTCCAAGAAACAGCCTGATTCAAAAAATCAGGCTGAAGTCCCGCCTGAGTACTTGCAGACAAACAAGACCTTAACTAGAAAAGGATGAAGCCTTAACATAGTGAATAAAGCCTGGAGAGCTTCAAAACACAAAGAGGGTGGAAGCTCCTCTGGCAGAAGCTTGGATTCAGGAGAAAGACTTAACCCTTAAAGTCCAGGGTTGGCGAGAAAAATAGCTAGCTCAATGGGCTCTGCTATGGGTCCTGTGCCTGTTTTGCTCACCAGCCTTGGAGTTGTTAGGGGTTTTTTCTGGATTCCCATATGGGCCACCAAAATGTTCATGTTAAGTAGACAGCCAGTTATTTCTCCCACAAAAATGGGTTTATTTGGAATCAGCAAAGAATTGCAATTTGAGGTCTGTAACCATGGCAAGCCCCCACAACAAAGAGAGGAGAAACTCTTTTATGGAGGGCAACAGGAAGTTGGGAGGGCTACTGTAAACGAAGAGTTGGAGGTGTAGTGGCTTTCCATTGGCTGAGTTGTGACAGTCTGTCATTGGCTGAGCTTCTTGCCAGTCAAGAAGAGGAAGTCTTTCTTTTTCCTGTTGGATTCTGCTATAGATATAGGCTCTGAAACCTCCCCCTTTTTGGTCTCCCAACTCTGATTTAATGAGGTTTGTGTTTATTAACTCTTCACAAGGGTGTTGGCATTATCTTTCTACATATGATAGTTAAATTAGTTCCAGTAAAGAGTTATATTTGAGGTAAACTACTTTATGGAGTATATCTGTAATTGATCTAAGCTGATATTTGTTTTAAAATATAAGAGTCTAAAAACTAATTTTCATTTTAGATCCTACAGATGTCTACACTTGGGGAGATAATACAAATTTCACCCTGGGTCATGGAAGCCAGAATAGCAAACATCATCCAGAGTTGGTGGATCTGTTCTCCAGGAGTGGGGTTTATATCAAGCAGGTATTTTGAAAGTACAATCTGAGTACTTTTAGAGATTAAAAAGAACTTTTGTGTTTGATAGCTCGTCTTTTCATTTGGATTATGTTAACTTTGTTGAAGGTATGATAACATATTTTAGTGAAGAAATTGATCAACAGAACTTTACTAATTTTGTTTTAGATTTTGTTAGCCTTAGTCATATTTAGATTGTGTAAAATACCATAAAAATATGAGGTATTTGTTTGCAAATAGAAATTAGAGGCACTATACAGATACTAAGTTAATTTTTGAAAGGTAGAACTTCTTTTGATTTTCTAGCTTTTGTTGCCATTTAACAAAAATTAGAGTTCTTCAGATTGTTTCTCAAGTGAATTTGTTTTGAAACTCAGTATTCTTAGTTTTAGGTAAGTAAACTTGAGTTCTTAAGTATAAGTAATTGTAAAATTTTAATTTATGTAATTGTAAAGGTTTGGTCTTTGGTCTTATATCATTATGCTGGATGATTATCTTCCACTGTCATGGATTTTGCTATTGTTGACCTACTCATATTTCTCTGTAATGCTTTGTGTGTGTGTGTATAATTTATATCTCTAGCCTCAGCCTTTCTCTTGAGCTTCCTTACAGTTGTACTCTGGACGTTCTTTCAAAGTATTTAAATTTAACATGTCTGAAGTGTTATTTTTGCCATTTGTAAACTTTCTTTACTTAATTTTTAAAGCTATAAATCTCAGTTTGTGACTCCTGAGAATGATACCTCAGAACACATCTTCTGAGTTCATCTTTGTCTGATTATTTTCCTGGTATAATGGTTAATATCATTTCCTTTCATTTCCAAAAATATTTCGATGATATTATATGGCCACTGTATTTAAGGCCTTGTAGAACACTATTTTTCCCACAAAAAGGTCATTACTAATGGATCACAACTAGCAGTTTTTAAAAAGTGAAATAAAAGAGTTAAACTCTAGAGAATATTCCATTTTGAGAGGCCAGGAACAAGAGCCCACATGGGAATGAAGAGTGACTAGAGAAGTAGGGAGTAGAGTGATGTGAAAGCCAGGAATCTGGTGGGCCATTTACACAGACCTGGAGGGAACTCAGGATAATGGAAGGACTTGGGATGGACAGGAGTCTCTAGCCCGATCTCCGAGTCTCTAGTACATGTAAGGGACATGAGCAGCATGGTAAGCAGTTAGAGCAGGATGGCAAACATATGTGCTGCTCCTGCCCTCACCTAGTGCAGAGACGTTCATAGATATTGCTAATCAATCACAGCATGCTCACACACTCAGTTGTTCTTTCTTTCTCTCTGTATGTGTGTTTGTGGATGTGTGTTTTAAACTGAGCTTGAACAGGTCCTCAAAATCCTCCTTAAAGTGGTATTCTACCCATCAGCAGCCACTAATGATTGATTAGAGTTGGGGCACTTAAGAAAGATACCTCTTTTTCTTTTCTGAGTTAGTACTTGATATAGTCAGATTTCATGAGCTGAGATTTTTCAGGAGCAAGGATTTTTACACAAGAGTGAAGGAATAAATGGTGACATTAGGAAACAAGCGGCTGATTATACTTTTGGATCCTAAGATATAAGTGCTATAGAAGAATAGAGCTTATTTCACTTAGTAGGGTTATAGATGAAACAATATCCTCAAAGAGAAAGGTATATTTCAGTTAAGGCAAGAAAGTGAGTGTATTTTGTGAAGAGATTAAGGATGAAGGATTTTATGTACCACCCAATGAAGGTTGAAGCTAGCACTGTGTACAGGTTTGAGAGGAAGGAAATCAGTGTAAATTTGAGTCAGAAAAGAGGAAGCAAATTTATGGGAATATTTACTGAGCACCAGTTATAGAGAGTGCCTCATTAGTCACTGAAAAAGGGCTGATTTAGTACCAAATGAATTTACTACAGGACAGAGATTATTAATATTAGCATAATATATTCCAAAGAACTAAGATGAAAATCCATGATCAGTTATCTCCTTAAAAAATTCAGAGATTTCAAGTTGGTGGACTTAAACTATGGTGTTGGTTGTTTTATAGTAGAAGTCAGAAATTGTAGAGTGGTATTTTAGTATTGAATATAAAATTGAACAAAGTATATTATTTCTGGTTTTATAAAATGATTGTTCCCTTATAGATTCTTACTTTGTATTACAAACTAGAATATAATTTTGAGGGTTATTTTTGAGTTTTCAGGTATTTGTGGTACAGCTAAATGAGATAATGGCTTCTTGCATTACTTATGATAGGCACATGTATTCGCAGGACTTGGCAAGTGGTTTAAGGATATGTATAAATAGAGCTTGCAGTTCAACTTATAATTGTCTTATTTTCCAAAGGACCTCGACTTTCTGGAAAATAACTCTAGGATTTCTTTATTTCTTAATCATCTTTTTATATCCTAAGTTAGAAATATTCGTAGATGACATAAGAAATATAAATGCAAATAATGTTTAAAAGTAAGAAAAAAGAATTTTTAAGTAGTACAAGGGTAAAATGATATATTGAATGTTAGATGCATTGAAAAATAGCAAAATGTGGCCTGGGGATTTGGTATATAAATACATGTATATTTAAAACTGCTCTTCATTTCCTGTTATTGTCTTCTGCTGATGCAGTGAACCGTTTCAGTACCTTTGTCTTCTGGTAAGAGTCTATATGTGGCAGAAGGCAAGGAGGTAGTTGGGAAGGAGGCAGATAAGAAAGGAAGTGGGGAAGAGAAAAAAACTTGATAATAAATATGAAACTATTTAAAGACATATCATGATATTAAAGATGTATTAGGTAAATTCAGATTTATAAAAAGCACATACTATCTACCCCTCACTCCTCATGGATAGGTGATGTTATTTTTAAAAAATACTTGTAAGGCATTTCCACTATTTTCTTTAATAGCATATCACTATTTTTAATCTTTATGTTTCATATTGCACTCTACTCAATTCTTGCTATTTGGATTTTGTGAAATTAGAAAACAACTGGCTACTACTTTTTGCAGTTGAAGACTTAAGATTTGCATTTTCTTTTCTTTACTCTTTTCTGTGGTAACACATACTTAATTCTTTCTTTGTTCTTTTTCCCACAGGTCAGTGTTTTTAGATATACTTTTAAAATAAAGCATAAATAGTTTTAATTTTTATTACAGAAAACTTCAAACATGTACAGTGTAGAGAGAATAGTATAATGAATCCCCATGTAAACATCATTCAGCTTAGACACTTGGCAATATCCTGTTATTTCTTTTTATAAAACAGGGTATTTTATTCAGAGCACTTTAATGATATTCTCTTCTTTCCTTTAGGTGGTGCTCTGTAGATTTCACTCAGTGTTCCTGTCTCAGAAAGGGCAGGTTTATACGTGTGGTCATGGTCTTGGAGGACGTTTAGGCCATGGAGATGAACAGACATGCTTGGTAATTGAAATGTCATTGCATAGTTTAGGTAACTGCAGTAAACTTTTGATGAACTGGAAGCTTCAGTTGACTAAAAGAAAAATTTTTTAACTAACTATAAAGAGAAAATAATATACTAATTAATAATAGATTTTAAAAAATTGATTTCTTTTGTGGTATATCATGTTTAAAGAATTTAGATATGCAAAATTCTGAAGCATCAAAGAAAAGTTATTTTTGCTTATATCAAATATTGAGTCAGGAGGGTCTATAAATAAACTTTAAAATATTTCCATAGTTGAAATAAAAAAAGTCAGACTAATTGTAAAACCCTTTTGCTGAGGCAGTCTAGGTTTTTATTTGCTTTTAATTTTTTGTTAAAGTATTTGTGGTCTAAAAATTGAGCCAGTGTTTTCATAGTATAATCACAAAATTAACTCTCATGCTGCTGAAAGCTAGTGCTAATTGGAAGAAACCTAGTAATCAATACATATAAGAAAATTGCCTCACTAGGTTATTTTTAAAGTAATTTTTCTTTGAAGGGACTACTGGTATATTTATCTTCTATTGAAAGATGCTTTAAAAAGGAGAGAGAGCTATGAAAATAGCTTCCATTTTCTGAGGGTTTATTATGTTCTAGGCTTTGTTCATGCTTTTCATGCAATATCATTACCTTATTTTAAGCCTCACAACAGCCCTAGGAGGTTAGAGGCATTACTATCCTCATTTTATACACAGTGACTAGTAATATCAGCAATCAGTTATTGATTGCTTACTCTGTGCTGGAGACTATGTTTTATACTTACCAGCTCATTTACTCCTTACACCAATCCTGTTATCATCTAAAATACTATTATTATTTTGTATTTAGGTGAAGAAAATGAGGTACAGAGAGGTTAAGAAGTTTGATTGAGATCAAATAGCTAGTAAGTGGCAGAATTAAGATTTGAACTCAGGACAGGTGACTCCAAAGGAATATGATATCATATGTTGGGTTATTCACTGAAGGATACATCGATTTCTGTATTTTTATTTATTTCTTCATTACACCAATGAATGCTTTGGCTGAAGAGTTTCCTTTATTCATACCAAACAACTTTATACTTGGTATTTGATAAGGACTCAGAAATCATTTGAATTGAGTTATTTTATTGCAATGTCTTATGTTTTTGTTATTTTACTCATAAACCAGAGTCCATATGCTATTAAACTCATTTGCCCCTTGCTGAATTGTAGAGTTTAGATGTGACACATACAGCCATATGTCAGTCATGTCATATTGGGTGTAGCATCATCAGATTCTATTTGCATTTCTAGGTAGATGGTAAATATATTATACTAAAGTTAATTTTATTTTGTAGGTCCCTAGGCTTGTGGAAGGACTGAGTGGTCATAATTGTTCCCAAGTGGCAGCTGCTAAGGATCATACTGTTGTATTAACTGAAGATGGATGTGTTTATACGTTTGGTCTAAATATTTTTCATCAATTAGGAATTGTTCCTCCACCTTCCAGTTGTAATGTACCCAGACAGGTAAACTTTGCTTTTTTAAACAATGAGGTTACTGTTTTCTATAAAACCTGTATGGACAAAGAGATAGAAAGTATTAACAGCAACTTATTTTACTTATATTCAGTGGTATGTATTTATTCATTGGTATATGCTTTATTTTTCACAGGAGAAATTAAGCATAGTACAAATGAACATTTGTTTGGAGTAAGAAAGAAAGCGTTTGGGAAATGAGGCACCAAACTGCCTTAGATCCAACTTTTAAGCATTCATAACCAGAGAGGAGGGATCCAGATTTTTTAGGTTTAGAACTTAAATGATTTTGAGGCCCTCCTTAAGAAAACGTATGAAGTTTATAAACACAAAATGGACCATGCAGGTGAGGTACCCAGAAGCCTAAACGTATTAACTTCATGGTAAATCTGCCTCTACACAGAAATCACACCTGGTGAGTTGATGTGAGGGGACATAGGTCCAAAAGCCACTGTTCTTTGTTCTACTTTCCCCCTTCCATTTGCACAGCTACCATCACAAGGTACCCTTTCCTCAATATCAGGGACCTAGTACACAGAACTGAGACTGGTGCTCTAAATTAATATATTAGGATCATTACCCATAACAAATGTGTTTTCAGCTCATAAAGTTTTACATTTCAGATACTAAATTTCTTCACTGGTTTAATCCTCTGCATTTAAAATTATTGTTAGATGTATGCTTTTTATTAATAAGCTTTTAAATCCAATGCTTTTCCATTATGGATGACTAATGAATCAATAGGAATTACCCAAAAATGATTAGAGGTAGTCTCCAGTCTGTGGTGCTTTTTAGAAGAGCTGTGTTCTCCAACCAACTGTGGAATCTGTGAATATTTAATCATTTTGTAGACTTCTATAGGAATGGTAGATTTTACTCGTGTTTTTATTCTCACAGGGTGGCTACCTTGGAGCTCTGGGTTGTTGTGGACATACCCAGTATTCTCAACTAGGGATTGTTTTGCCCTCCTCCCTCCCCCCCTGAACTATTTTGCAATGTGCAGAGACATTTTTAGTTGTCACAACTGAGGGTAGGAGTGGGAATGGTGCTATTGACATCTGGTGGATAGAGTTCAGGGATGCTGCTAGACCTCCTACAGTGTACGAGACAATCCCTCACATCAAAGAATCATCTGGCCCAAAATGTCAATAGTGCCAGTGTTGGGAGACTCTGGATATATCAAACTTAAAAGTACCATATTTTATAGTAAGAATGAGAATGCCTGTTTTGCATATTGCTTGTTAACAAAAGTTTAATGGTTTGGTTTTTATACTGTGTCAGTTTTTTATATGTTAAAATTTAATTTAAAGTGGCTGTGTCAAAATGTCTTGTGTCCTGAGAAGAGGCGGAGTCTCAGTATTAGTGCTGAGATCTGTTAGTGATGACTGGCATTAGCACTTGAGGAGGCCCTGCCGGCAAGTGTGCCATGTATTTGCTACCCTGGTCTACTGGATCTTTGTAAAATTGTACTAGTTCGTAGATTTATAATAAACTGCAGTCTTATTTGTGTGTTTTAATAGATGCAAGCAAAATATCTGAAAGGAAGGACAGTCATTGGAGTAGCAGCAGGCAGGTTTCATACAGTGCTATGGACTAGAGAAGCTGTTTACACTATGGGACTAAATGGTGGACAACTGGGTAAGAAATCTTTGATGACAATATCTGAAAAATAAATTGGATTCTTTAAACAGATATTTTGTGGTTTGCTTATTTGTGTAATCTTTTAGGTTATTTACTAGATCCCAATGGAGAAAAGTTTGTAACTGCTCCTCGTCAAGTCTCTGCTCTTCATCATAAGGACATCACTCTGTCTTTGGTTGCTGCAAGTGATGGGGCCACAGTCTGTGTTACCACAAGGGGAGATATTTACTTACTTGCAGACTATCAGTGCAAGAAGATGGCTTCAAAGTATGTGTATTTCTGTGAAAGAAACATAACTTTAATAATGGTTTAACTCTTCCAGCAAATATCTGAGTATCAGCTTTATGCTATGCTCTGAAATGTCAAAGGGAGAAAACTGAATGGAGGGGAAGGTCAGAAGTTTTTGCCTTTGATGATCTTAGTCTTTTGGCAAGCATCCAGTGGAATATATGTGAAAGTTCTTTGTAAGTTGTAAAGCAATATTTCTGAATTATGTTTAGCATATAGTTAAATATAGCTTGTATGTTTGCTTATTTTGTGCTTCAGGTGCACAGAACCAAATTAATCATAATTCTTGGTTTGTGACACAATCATCATTGGTTCATGTGTAGCCTTTTTTATATTATGCACTTATGTATTTAAAAAAATAGTTACTCATGTACTGTGGACTCTCTACTCAGTCCACGTTTTCATACCTACTGGTAATTTTTTAATCTTTGTATTTGTGTAGCCTGTTGTTATCTGAAACATGTTAAAGTAGCATGCAGTAAACTGGCAGTTGGTTGGCTAATCAAAAAGTCACTTAAAACTGGGAATCATAAAACTAAACTTTAACTATGGTTAAGTCCACCAGTTGGAGTTCCCTGTCTTGCGTATAATCTCTACTCATAGTGTGTCACCTATGATTTCATTTTGAATGATTTAAGGAGCAAGTGCTTAAAAATAATTGTGAAGTGTGGAATCCTATATTTTTCATATTTTCAATCTTTTATAGTTAATCCATATCTGATTTGATAGCAATTTTTTTTTCTGCTTTATCTCCCCAAACCCCCCGTGTACACAATTGTATATCTTAGTTGCAGCTCCTTCTAATTGTGGGGATAGCAATTTTTTGCTACTCGTGTTTATTGTGTCATTCCAAAGTATTCGACTTTTATAGAAAAACATTCTTTTTAGACTAATATTTCATTGGTTATTTCATTATATAATATAATTATGGTAATGAATACAAGTAGAGAAATAGACCTTTGAACAAATACCGTGATTCCTCATTTAGAGGAAGCAGTAGTATGTAGGAATTTTTGAGAGTGCCATCCAACTTTTAAAGCAATCAAGGATTTAAATTGAAATGCAGTGGATGTGCATTTGCAAATGTGGGACTTAAGTAACTTCATGAACAAGTACCATCCATGAGGTTAGCTCATGAGCAGAAAATGTCAACCATCAATTTGTCACAACTTATCTTTTGTGTGTAGCAGTTGTGAGGTTATCAGTCGTAGGTCATCTTTCAGTTTTAAACATATGAAAATGTGAACATGTTTCTTAGACCTGACTAAATAGGGTTTTTACTGAGTATGAGGTGATTTCTAGGATGTTAGGTTTTATTTTTAGTTATTTGTAAAACTTGCTGTGATAACATTGTTACATAAATATCAATTACATCCAAGTTTTCACTAAGAAAATTCTTTTGTTACAGTTTGTTACAACATAGTTTTGAAAAGGAAAACGATTTTTTTTTTTTAATGCGGGCAAAATCTCTGAAGGGGAGTATCATTGGAATATCAGCGAGCAGGTTTCACATAATGCTATAGGCGAATCACATACGCAGATATAATGAAATGTGTAATGAAATGGGTAGTGGATGAGTTATTAGCAATACTGGTCATTTTCGTGGTAGCTATCTATTTAGGGTTGTCCCTATTTGAAATTAAGGATTTCTATTTCATTTACAGATTTAAAATTTTTCTTTTCTGTTAAAATGCAAATACACTTAGGAGGTTTTAGCCTTATCAGTTGTTTAAACTAGAGTGAACGTATGCATTAGCAAGTGGGGCTTTAGGTATTTAATGTGTGTGTCTGTGTGGGTAGAGACATTTGGGAGTGATGGACTTGCCGTAGAAAGAAACAGCCATCATGTAGGGGGAACTTATGGAAAGGGATTATGGATACCAAAGACCAAATCTTCTTACTTCGTCTTTCACAGTAATTGCCCTGGGTTATTGTTTGAATAGTAATTTCTTTAAAATTGAGCATGTGTATTTTAGAGAACATATTAATCTAGAATTTTTTTTCACTCAGACAACTAAACTTGAAAAAGGTTCTTGTATCTGGGGGGCGTATGGATTACAAGGTTTATCCTGAACATTTGAAAGAAAATGGGGGTCGAAATATTTGCATTCTTGCAATGGATGGAGCTGGAAGGGTGAGTACATGTTTATGCAAAATTGTAGTAATCTTGTTGTAGGGGACCTAATAACATGAAAATGCTGTGATAGTGACGATTCTTAGTGACTTTGTTTTCCTACTTATTTTAGACATCTAATACTAACTTGTATGGAGCTATTGTTTCAAAGAAAGTATGATGACATTTAACTGATGTTGCACAGTACTGCTTTGTGAAACTGTGGTTTAAAATTGCATTTACTCTGCTTAAAATAGAAATAAGTAAGGGATTGTGATGGGTTATTTGATATGTACAGCTAGTACTGATTGAATCGCTTAGATATGAGATATCTTATATAACCACTCTTAAAAAAAGTAAAAGCTGTGCAGGCAATGTTAAAAATTTGATGCGTAATTGGAAAAATTTCCCCAAATTTAGTTTTAAACAAATGTACACATAATATATACATGCAGAGATGATAGCTATCATATATGAGAGAATGTATTTCCAGATCGCTGCATAAAGAATCCTTTACCTCTTTTCATTTAAGTAAATCGATTTCTAATTTTAGTTCCCTCTGCAAACATACATTTCGCTAATAAAATTGTCAATTTAAAAATACACATTAGTAGCACTGAAAAATTTTACACTGGCTAGAAAATTTTACTCTGTGCTTTTTACCTTTTGCTTATAAAATAAAAACAGTAAGAATATTTTCTGAGGTTTATAAAGTGCTATAAAATTTCATGTTTTAGAAATAGAAGAATTAATCATAAAGCTCCCCCTACTGGTATATTATGGGGTAAATCTACTGTAGTTCATCATTTTAACACAGGGAGCTATATTTAAGAATTAGAGCTGGAATTTGTACTAATGGAAGGAAGCAGAAGCGTAGGATTGCATAAAAAAGTTGAGTATAAAAAACTTATCTGACTTTGGGATGTATTTCATTTATCTTAATATGGACCTCGCTTATATCTCTAGTTATTTACAGCCCACAAAATTAGAATCTTAAATGTGAAAACCAAGCTCTGAAGGAAACAATCAGTACAGTCTTTTTTTTGTTTACATTAACTTTTGAGTGACTTTGACAGATACCCTTTTGTGCTTTAGTTTTCTTAATTATAAGGGGATTGAACTTTTGAAAATCAACAGTATTAATTTTTCAAGTGAAATCTTACTTGAAATGCCGATATGTGAAGGAGACAAAAGGGATTCTGCTCCAGATAAGGTGGATTGGGAAACCTAGCACCCCATGTGTCATTCTCTCCATCCCAGAGCAGCAGCCCCGAGCCATTTCCCAGAACACTAAGGTTTGCAGACCCACTTGGAAGCCTTTGAACTCTCTGATGATCCTTCTATCTCGAAGCCTTTGTTTTAGTTATATAATAGAGTTATGCATAGATCTTGTTTTTTTCTTTAGAGTAAAATTTGGATTTTCCTAGAGTGATTTTCATTCTCTTGTAAGTAAGTGGTACTACAACAAATCTAACGTCTAAGTTTTAGCTTTCACATTTTTGGTTTTTTGTAGTGTTGTAGCAAATCTATTTGCCCAAAACAAGTAGTATTGAAAATAACTTTTTCTTAAGAGGAGTGTCTTTGGAGCATTTTTAATGCTTCATGTTTGCTTGATGTACTTTTTCTGAAAGATAGTTATTTAAAACCAAATTGACTTTTATGATTATCAGTCTTTTTCTGTGGAAGAATAAACATTGAAGCATAATCAGAGCTTTTATTTTAGAGACATTATCTCGATTTCAGTTTTTGGTTGCTCAGATGCCATAAGCTTTATATTACAATGTAATTTGATTTTATTTTAGGTATTTTGCTGGAGATCAGTAAGCAGTTCTCTGAAGCAGTGTCGATGGGCCTATCCACGCCAAGTCTTTATTTCTGACATTGCTTTAAACAGAAATGAAATTTTATTTGTCTCACAAGATGGAGAAGGATTTAGAGGGAAATGGTTTGAAGAGAAAAGAAAGAGTTCTGAAAAGAAAGGTCAGTTCATATATGTAAATGGCTTATCAAAGTACTTTTCGGTTAACCTTTAATTTCACAAGTGTTTATTATTAGGTTTAATTGACATGTTTAGTTTACATCTCTTCTTTTGATTTTGGTTTGTGTATGTGCAGGTAAACAGGGAGTTCAACCTGCTTAAATCTGAAGTTTTCAACCTTTTGTCTGTCTTAATATACCCTGAGGTCATGGTACCTTTCCATCAGTAAAGATGGCTCTCTATTAATGCTAGCCTTGATTCTATGGAATAGTAAAGTTTAAAAAAAAAATCCTCCCAGATGGTTTTGAACCATCTTCCAAGCTCCCATTTTCTTTTTGTCCTTCAAATGGGTAATTGAGTGGCTTATGCTATATTTTTGTTTTATTTTTTACATACTTATGTTTATAAAATTAAAGTTTTAAAAGGTACGTCTCATGACTTAAAGAAAAAAATCACAGGAAGAATAAAGTTGTGTTCATTGAGAATATTAAAAAATACAAGTAGTTTTATTAAACAATTGCTGGTAATTGGAGAAGATTTCATTCCTTGATGAATATAAAGGATAGCTTTCATTAAAATGCCACCAGTAAAAATAGAAGTTATTTATTATTTACTTCATTCTTAATTATCTGATTATAAATTTATAAACTTGTGTATTACTTACCTTGTTTTTTGACTTGGGTTAGTGACTTTTTTCTTTCATTCATAATTAGTAATCTGTTTATTTTTTTCCAGAAAAACTAGAATTCCCTTACCTCTACATCTCATTGCTCCCACTTTAGCTCAAATCACATAGACTGCAATAAAAAAGGTTTTCTTATTTCCACTGTTGTTTCTTTTTATCTATTCACCACTGATTACCAGAGTGAGCTTTTAAGACCTCATTCTAATATTTCGTGTTTAAAAACTCTTTAATGATTTCCTCCCTTCCTAAACAAAGCCTGTGAGGCCTTGCTCTGAGCCCTGTCTATGTCTTGGAATTCATCCTGAGTTCTCTTCCTTTCACTTACCACTCTCCAGTCACGTTGACCTTCAGGTTTTTCGACCTTGTCTAGCTGTGATTAGTCCCAGGGCCTTTCCTAACTTTTCACATCTCAGCTTAATTTATACTTCATCAGAGGTGTTTTCACTGATCCCTCATTCTAAACTGAGTTACCCTGTTTCACTTCTAATATTCCCTTTGTATTTCATCATGTAACTTATTTTTACTTATCTTTGTGATTTTTTTATTGCTTGTTTCCTATTAGACTATAAGATGGCGAGGCCCATGACTGTTCACTATATCCTTAGCATTCAGCATGTTTCCTGGCTCATAGTAGTCCTTCATGAAGTCATTGGTTGAATGAATTAAATCAGTTATTTTATGCTAAAAATATATAAAAATTTATAATTACTCAAAAAATTATAAACATATTCTTCAAAATCATGAAGCCCACAAAGGAATGATTTTTGCATAATTGATTTGTTGTATTTCTTTCATTTCTTTATAGATTATTCAAGTCTGTAAACATTGAAGGTATATTTACTGTGTGCCAGATGTAGGGTTAGGTTATAATACAAAAATATATAAGATGGGCCTCTGTTCTCAGACACTCAGAAGTCTGTAGGGGAAATAGACATGTATTTAAATATTTGTAGTTCATCAAGACAAATACTAGTAAGCACGTAGTAAGTTTTTTGAGAGCACAGCAGTTGGAATAACTGTCAGAGGAGGATTAGCAAAGCTCCCTAAGACTGAAATAGAGTAAATTTGAGACAGTAACCAGAATGCAGGTTCAACTTGTAAATATTGTAAGTCCTCAGAATTGTGTCTTAGTCATATTTAGTGCTCTAAAATTGAATTCATGATGTCATGCTCCCACATCTGCTTTTAGTGTTTTCCATCGAAATAAATGGTTATCTTTGACACTCCGCATTTTCTCACCCCCTACATCCAATCAGCCACCAAGTTTTGTCACATCTGTCTCAAGTATTTCTGAAATCTTTCCATTTTTCTCCAGTTTCATTGCTACAGCCTCAATCTATGTTATTTATTCTTTTTCTGGACTATTAAAGTAGTTTCCTAGATGATCTCTTTGTCATTATTTTTATTTAAGCATTCTTTGTATAGGGGCCAGAATTATTTCTTTGCATGCAAATTTTATACGTTTCTTTTGTGGCCTTGATCTGACTTGTAAAGATATAATCATTTGTTTAACGTATCTCTTCTCTGTTAGATTTGGTACTCCAAGATGGTAGAGACATGCCTATCTTGTTCACCATGGTATCACTAGGAATAGACTGGTGATCACTATCACAGCACAGTGTGGTCACTCAGATATTTTCTGTGTAAATGGAAGAAAGGGGGAGGGGGGGCAGGGAGTAAATAAACAAGCAAGCAGATTATGAAGATGCTCAGTTTATATATTTTTAATGCAAGTTGAGGAATTTTAGAAGCTAGTATAAAACTAGATTTGGTTTTCAGAAACATAACTTCGGTTGTAGTGTAGAGGATGTGTTTGTTGAAAGGGATAAAATGACGGATGATTGAGAATTTATCCACCAAAATTTCCTGTATAATACAACCAATATTTAGTGTGCATATTGTCTTGAAGAGAGAGAGGATGTAGTTCTTCAAAAGGACTTAATACTTACGAAAGATATTTCCATATTCTCCTAATTGTTTTTCTATTCCATTTACTCCTAAATCATTTTAATAGCTTCAGTAAAGCCTTGAATAATGGAAGTTTATTTTTTTCTTTTTAGCAGAGATTTTATCAAACCTTCATAATTCCTCATCAGATGTGTCTTGTGTCTCTGATATAAATAGTGTATATGAAAGAATTCGACTTGAGAAACTTACTTTTGCCCATAGAGCCGTTAGTGTCAGCACAGATCCAAGTGGATGTAACTTTGCAATCCTGCAGTCAGATCCTAAAACAAGGTACATTTGTATGTATTAAATTTTATTTTTAGAAGGAACAATCACTGGGTTTTCTTTTGTTTTCATAAGCTCCTGGAGCAAATTTAATTGAGCTGTTGCCAAGTCTTGTAGAGACTTTAGACATGTTATCATGTTACGTGGATAACTCAAGGTGGAATTTGTTGTACTTAAATGATGACTGTTCCTTTTAGTTTGTAAACTGATATTTATTGAAAATACTGAAGATATATCTGTATCTCTACGCACACAGACAAAATGTATTTATATCTTTAGTACTTTATGATGTACTCTAAGTTCTCAGATTCTGAGAAATGTAAATGTTTGTTATGTAGTTTGCAAAAATTTCTGACCCTTGAATATGATGAGAATTGACAAAAAACAAGGTAGTATAGTCTGTACCATAGTGTGAATCTCAGTGCAAATCTTCTAAGTCATATTAGTAGAGAGATCACAGGTTAAGATAAACATCAAGGGTTGTATTGAAGAGGAAAGAAGTCATAGAAACAGGGTGACCATCCATCCTGGTTTGCCCAGGTCTGTCTCATATTTAGCACTAAAAGTCTCACCTCCTGGGAAACCCCTCAGTCCCAGCCAAACCAGGAGGGTTGGTCTCTCTACCTGGTAGGATGAAATGTAGGTTGGTGAAAGAACCATAGTTACAGACTGTTTGTATATCTTTGTATGTATTTATTTTTACTTCCTTAAGTTTCTGACCTATTCTGGGATCTGACTCGAAGTATTTGTGCAGTTTTCTGTGTGTTTGTTTTTCTGTACTTGTAAAATAAAAGGATATAAAAGAGAAAAAAGTTGAGTACTGTACTCTTTTTTGAATGTTTTTACTTATACGTTTAGTCATTTAAAAAATTTCTATGAAACAGTCATTTGAATTTATGTTCTGGTGTTTCCTTAGAGAAATAGAAAACTGATTTCAAAGGAAAACTTAATTCTTGTCATTTTAGTTTAGGAGAAAAGACAAATATAAAAAGGAATACAAAAAATGCAAAGGGTAATACAGTATCCAAGACTGTGCAGTATTTTTATATTTTAAGAAATGCCAAATTTAAAATGTTCTACGTTTAATAAATAAAAAAGAAATTGCACTTTAAAAGAAGAATTGGCTAGGGATGCTTTTGTTTTTTTTGTCATTTTCTTGAAAGTAAAAATGATCTTTTTCATTTCTAGCCTTTATGAAATTCCAACTGTGTCCTCCTCATCTTTTTTTGAAGAGTTTGGGAAATTGTTGAGGGAAACAGATGAAATGGACAATATTCATGATGTGACATTTCAAGTTGGCAATAGAATCTTCCCTGCACATAAATACATTTTGGCAGTGCGTTCTGACTTTTTTCAGAAATTGTTTCTTTCAAATGGTACTACTTTAGACTTTACAGATGTTTACCGGAAAGATGAAGATTCTGCAGGATGCCATCTCTTTGTGTTAGAGAAGGTTCATCCTGACTTGTTTGAATACCTTTTACAATTTATATACACAGATACTTGTGACTTTTTAACTCATGGCTTCAAACCAAGAATAAACTTAAACAAAAAACCAGAAGAATATCAGGGCACTCTGAATTCTCATTTGAATAAAATGAATTGCCATGAAGATAATCAGAAGTCAGCATTTGAAGTTTACAAAAGTAATCAAGCTCATACAATTAATGAAAAGCAGAAAAGCAAACCCAAATCTTCCAAAAAAGGAAAAAGTGTTGGAGAAGATGATCCTGTAAAAATGTTGCAAAATATTGCAAAGAAATTTGGTTTCAGTAATTTGAGTAGTAGGTATGCAGTAGGTATCCTCCTTAATATCTATTCTCCTACCTTATTAGTGTTCTCCTTTTAAAAATTCTTCTTGTTTCTGTTCCTTTGCGTGGCTGCTCCTCCCCTCCCCTCCCATCCTCTCTGTCTGACGCTCCCCCTCTTTGGGCAGGGAGGTACATGGATACATTCTTCCTCCATTTTCTGCTAAAGCTATCTCTGTGGTACTCTCAGGATTAAAACATTAAAGGGTGGGAAGGCTGTTAGTGTATTTGAACTCTATGGTATTTCTGTAACAGGGATCTGAAATGGCAGGCAGTATGGTATGCTAGAAAGAGTACTATCTTTGAAGTTAGAAAGACCTGTTTATGCCTCTTTGCTCTAATATGACTAGCTGGTGCAAATTTCTTAGTTTTCTTGAACCTCAGTTTTTCAATATATAAAATGAGAGGGGTAATATTGATCTCATATTGTTGGTGTAGTTTTGTCATATAGCATATATAAAAATGCCTAACAATATTTGTCATATTATAAATCAGATTCTTTGGAATTTTCTCTTTTTATAGGGTATTTATATTGCTTGTGGCGGTATAACTTTAGTTGTAGGTTGGGAGCAGAGGAGGGTGTGTCATGTTTTCTAATTAAAAACAATGAAGGGCTTTATGTCATGGCTTTGATTTGCTTTTGTCAGTAATGATTTTTAATATATTTTGAATTCTAGGTAAAATGGAAGGCGAATGTATGGTGTTTCTTTATCACAGAGTGAGGGGTTTGTCAAGATACTTTTCTAGATGATATAAATAATATAATTATGTTCAGATGTAAGCTGATTTGTTGGAGTTTTGTTGTTATTTGTCTGTTGGTTTTGGTAGGGGAATATATCCACCAATTGTTAATTTTTTTTTCTCTCCTTGATAGGTTAGATGGAGTCAGATTTGAAAATGAAGAAATTAATGTTATTGCCAAGAATACTGGTAATAAACAAAAGCTAAATCAGAAAAAATGGTAAGTTAGGAAATGACGATAAATGTTTTATCTTTAGATTATGTGCCTTGTGTGGAAATGGAGCTCTTTTACTCACATCTGAAGCAAAATGTGTAGATAGATACCCTCTTACCTTTACTAGTCTTCATTTCTGGAAATGTTGGAGAGCTCTTCAGGTAAATGGATAAAATAATAATTGCTCAATAAGACACTGAAACAGTTCATTTTTTTCTGATTCCTTTCTAATCAAGAAAGGAATTTTTAATTTTTATTTTTCTCTGACTGAATTTTGTATTTTTTTAAGTAGGAAATGATGTTAACCCAGAAGCCAAACTAATTATACCTCTTCATCATGATGATTATTTAGTATAAATTTTTTCAATAATAACTATGCTATTCTAAATATGTTATTAAAAGTTTTACTTTTAGATATTTGCTTTGTAGGTGAAATGTTTTGGAGAAAGAGACTGTGGAGGTGTCTAGACTGTGCTTAGCACAGGATAGATTGTACAAATAAGTAAATTAAAGACCTTCGAATATAATGTCACTTACTTTATATTACTAACACCTGGCCTGTAATGAAAAAGGAAAATTAGAAGAAAGATTTTCTTTTCAAGATTGGCACCTGAGCTAACATCCGTTGCCAATCTCTTTTACTTTTTTCTTCTTCTCCCCAAAGTCCCCCAGTACATACCTCTACACTCTAGCTGTGAGTGCCTCTAGTTGTGCTCTGTGGGACGCTGCCTCAGCATGGCTTGATGAGTGGTGCTTGGTCCGTGCCCAGGATCTGAACCGGCGAAACCCTAGGCCACTGAAGTGGCGTGTGTGAACCCAACCACTGGGCCACCAGGCTGGCCCCAAGAAAGACTTTTTTTGAATATTTATCTGTATTCAGTTCCCTTTTCAAATACTATCTTTGTGGTAAGGCCCTTATTTAATTTTCCTTAGAGTGGGAGGAAATGAAGTACTTTATTTGTGTGTATATTTTCAATTTGTTTATTCTCTGCTACCTTTAAGAAAAATCAAAAGTTAAGCAATCCTATAATGTATTTTCTTACTTGCTAAACACTTTTTTTTTTTTTTCTTTTTTCAGTTCTTTTCTATGTGATGTGACCATGAAATCAGTGGATGGAAAGGAATTTCCTTGTCATAAATGTGTTCTTTGTGCTAGACTTGGTATGTACACTTTGCGTTAGTTCCTGATTTATTTGTGTTTAGTATTGTTTCGCTATTTGTACTAAACTGAACTTTTTTCTTTCAGAATACTTTCGTAGTATGCTGAGTAGCTCATGGATTGAGGTAAGATTTAAGTAGAAACCGTGTAGGCTAGTAACCATACTTTCTGTTTTTGGGAAATTATAGACTAAAGAAATTCAAAATGAGAACCTGATATTTTAACTCAGTTTTTCTTTTGTATTGAACTTTATTTATGCTTAAGCCTGTTGGAAAATAGCAATATTCAGAAATCAAAATCGTTGCAAAATCCTACTTAAATCAAAATATCCCCAGTATTATTTGGACATGTATTTAGAATACCAATGTGTTTCATTTTTCATCAAGTTTTCTTGATCCCTTTTCATGTTATAAGATGTATTAAAATTAATGTATGTCATTTTAGCTTTGTGTTTTGTAAATGTTAGGTTCTTTTGCATTTGATGTGATTTCTGTTCAGAGTTTTTTGTACCAATAACCTAAACTATAATACAGTAGTATTTTATAGTTTAAAATTATTTTGCTTTATTTCATTTTATTAAGGCTACCAGTTGTGCAGCTCTGGAGATGCCAATACATTCTGACATATTGAAAGTTATTTTGGACTACCTCTATACTGATGAAGCTGTGGTGATAAAAGGTATTAATAAGAGGATACTTTAGATATAATTGAATAATGGTAAAATCAACATGAATTTTAATTTCTGTTCTAATTTTAATAAGCCATAAACAGGCTTAATTTGGAATAAGTGATAGGGATAATTACTAACAATAAAGGAGTGGAAAATTTTCATTACCTATTGAAAAATGAATTGTGTATAATGGTTAAGATTAGATTTAACAGTTTCGTACTCATCTGCTTCTATGATTGAGATGAAGAATTGACAGCAAGGAATATAGTTTTGACAAATACTCTGCAAAAATTCTTTCTTATCTATTTTTACGCTTGTGATAACATATCTAAAATGAAAGAAATAGATTAAGAATTGGACCAAAATTTATGAAGAGTATGCATTAATATACTTGTCAGACAGCATACCCATGTATTAGTTACCAATTGTCTTTAGTTAAGGGAGTGGTGTATTTCCATGTTCCATTGTATGTATACACCACATTTTTTTTATCCATTTTTCTTACAATGGACTTTTAAGCTGTTTCCATATCTTGACTATTATGAATAATCCTGCAGTGAACATGGGAGTGGAAGTATGTCTTCAAGATCCTTATTTCAGTTCCTTTGACAAAATACCCAGAAGTGGGATTGCTGTATCAAATGGTGGTTTTATTTTTAATTTTTTGAGGCATCTCCATGCTGTTTTCCATAGTTAGTATATCAATTTACGCTTCCACTGGCAAGGCACAAGGGTTCCCTTTCTTCACATCCTTGCCAACACTTGTTATCTTGTTTTTTTGATAGTAGTCATTCTAACAAGTCTAAGGTGACATCCCATTGTGGTTTTGATTTGCATTTCCCTGCTGATTAGTGACATTGAGCACTTTTTTGTATACCTAGGAGTTTTAGGGTTTCAGGTCTGTCTTTCAAGTGTTTTATCCATTTTGAGTTAATTTTTGTGTGTGGCAAAAGATAATGGTCTACTTTCATTCTTTTGTATGTGGCTGTCCAGTTTTGCTAACACCATTTATTGAAGAGACTTTCCTTTGTTTATTGTATGTTCTTAGCTCCTTTATTGAAGATTAGCTGTCCATAGGTGTGTGGTTTTATTTCTGGGCTTTCAGTTCTGTTCCATTGATCTGTCTGTTTTTGTACCAGTACCATGCTGTTTTGCTTACTTCAGCTTTGTAGTATATTTTGAAGTCAGGAATTGTGATGCCTCCAGCTTTGTTCTTTTTCCTCTGGATTGCCTTAGCTATTCGGGGTCTCTTCTTACCCCATGTGAATTTTAGGGTTCTTTGTTCTATTTCTGTGAAGAATGTCATTGGGATTCTGATTGGGACTGCCTTGAATCTGTAGATTGCTTTAGGTAGTATGGACATTTTAATTATATTTATTCTTCCAATCCATGTGCATGGAATATCTTTCCATTTCTTTATGTCATCATCGATTTCTTTCAGTAATGTCTTAGAGTTTTCATTGTATAGGTCTTTCACCTCCTTGGTTAAATTTATTCCTGAATATTTTATTTTTGTTGCAATTATAAATGGGATTATATTTTTGAGTTCTCTTTCTGTTAGTTCGTTATTAGAGTATAGAAATCAACTTACAAAGTTGCATTTTGTACCCTGCAACTTTGCTGTAGTTGTTGATTATTTCTAATAGTTTTCTGATGGATTCTGATGCAGTTTGTGTCTGCAAACAATGAGAGTTTTGTTTCTTCATTACCTATTTGGAATCCTTTTGTTTCTTTTTTCTTGCCTAATTGCTCTGGCCCAAACCTCCAGTACTATGTTGAATAAGAGTAGTGAGAGTGGGCCACCCTTGTCATGTTCTTGTTCTCAGAGGAATGTCTTTCAGTTTTTCCCCATTGAGTATGATGTTAGCTGTAGGTTTGTCATATATGGCCTTTACTATGTTGAGATACTTTCCTTCTATACCCATTTTACTGAGAGTTTTTATCATAAATGGATGTTGGATCCTGTCAAATGCTCTCTGCCTCTATTGAGATGATCATGTGGTTTTTATTCCACATTTTATTAATGTCGTGCATCACATTGATTGATTTGTGGATGTTGAACCATCCCTTGTGTCCCTGGTATAAATCCCATTTGATCATGATGCATGATCTTTTTAATCTATTGCTGTATTCGCTTTGCCAATATTTTCTTGAGGATTTTTGTATCTACATTCATCAGCAATATTGGCTGGTAATTTACCTTCTTTGTGTTGTCCTTATTTGGCTTTGCTATCAAGGTTATGTTGGCCTCCTAGAATGTGTTGGGAAGTGTTCTGCCTTTCTTAACTTTTTGGAATATTTGAGAAGGATGGGCATTGTATCTTCTTTGAATGTTCTTTGAATTCTCCAGAGAAGCCATCTGGTCCTGGACTTTTATTGTTTGGGAGGTTTTTGATTACTGTTTGAATCTCTTTACTTGTGATTAGTCTGTTCAGATTCTTTGTTTCTTCTTGGTTCAGTTTTGTGAGGCTGTATGAATCTAAGAATTTATCCATTTCTTGTAGATTGTCCAATTTATTGGCATATAATTTTTCATAGTATTCTCTTATAATCCTTTGTATATTTCTCCTGGTTCATTGCTAATTTTATTTATTTAAGCCTTCTCTTTTTTTTCTTAGTCTGGCTAAGAGTTTGTCAGTTTTGTTTATCTTTTCAAAGAACCAGCTCTTTGTTTCATTGATCCTTTCTACTGTTTTTTTTAAATTTCAATTTCATTTATTTCTGCTCTAATTTTTATTATTCTCTCCTTCTGCTGACTTTGGGCTGTATTTTTGTTTTGCTAATTCTGTTAGGTGTAGTTTAAGATTGCTTATTTGAGATTTTTCTTGTTAGCATGCACCTGTATTGCTATGAATTTCCTTCTTATGACCATTGTAGCTGCATCCCATATGAGTTGGTATGGTGTATTTTCATTCTCCTTTGTCTCCAGATATTTTTTGATATCTCGTTTAATTTCTTCAGTGATCCATTGGTTGTTCAGTAGCATGTTATTTAGTCCCCACATGTTTGTCACTTTCCCAGCTTTTTTTTGTAGTTGATCTAGTTTCATAGCATTATGGTGAGAAAAGCTATTTGATATGATTTCAATCTTCTTAAATTTATTGAGGCTTGCCTTGTTTCCAAACATATGGTCTATCCTTGAGAATGTTCCATGTGCACTTGAGAAGAATGTGTATTGTGTTGTTTTTGGAGGGAGTGTTCTATATATATTAAGTCCATCTGGTCTAGTTTTTTGTTTAAATCCAGTATTTCCTTGTTGACTTTCTGTGTGGATGATCTATCCATTGATGTAAGTGGTATGTTAAGGTCCCCTACTATTATTGTATTGTTAGTATCACCTTTTAGGTTTGTTAGTAGTTGCTTTATGTACTTTGGTGCTCTTGTGTTGGATGCATATGTATTTATAAGTGTTATGTCTTCTTGGTGGAGTGTCCCTTTTATCATTATTTATTGCCTGTCTTTGTCTCTCATTATCTGTTTTGTCTTGAAGTCTCCTTTGTCTGATATCAAAGTATGGCAATACCTGCTTTCTTTTGTTTGCCATTAACTTGCAGTATCATCTTCCATCCCTTCACCCTGAACCTGTGTTTGTCTTTAGAGTTGAGGTGTGTTTCCTGCAGGCAGCATATTGTTGGCTCTTGTTTTTTAAAAATCTGTCCCACCACTCTGTCTCTTTTGATTGGAGAATTCAATCCATTTACGTTTACAGTGATTATTGATGTATGAGGGCTTAATGTTGCCATTTTATTACTCATTTTCTGGTTCTTCTACATTTCCCTTGTTTCTCATCCCGTGTACTTCAGACTACCCATTCAATTTGTTAGTTCTCTGATGGTTTTCTTAGTTTTCTCTATTGTTTGTGTCTCTGTTCTGATGATTTGTTTAGTGGTTACCATGAGGCTTGTATAAAAAAATCCCGTAGATGAGATAAGTCCATTTTCTGATAGCCTTTTATTTCCTTAGACTGAGCTGATTCCATCCCTTGCCTCTTCCCCTTTTAAGTCATTATTTTTCCAACTTATTCCACCTTGTAGTGTAAGTTCGTGGTTAAAATGATGAGATTATATTTTTGATGTTTTACTTCACTTTATCTTTAGTGTTATAACTGTTTGCTAACATGTTCTGATAAAGAGCTGTAATTTTCTGATTTTGTCTACGTATTTATCTCTTTGCTCAAGACTTTATAACCCCTTTTTTTTTTTTCAGATATGAGGGCCTGCTTGAGTGTTTCTTGTAGTGGGGGTCTTGTGGCAATGAACTCCCTTAGTTTTTGTTTATTTTGGAAGGTTTTTATTTCTCCATCATATTTGAAGGATGATTTCTCTGGATACAGTATTCTTGGCTGAAAATTTTTGTCTTTCAGAATTTTGAATATATCATTCCTCTCTTTCCTAGCCTGTAAGGTTTCTGCTGAGAAATCTGCTGAAAGCTTGATGGGGGTTCCTTTGTAAGTTATTTTCTTCTGCCTTGCTGCCCTTAATATTGTTTCTTTGTCATTGACTTCTGTCAGCTTTCCTACTGAAAGGCTTGGAGAATGTCTTTTTACATTTGTATTAATTAGGAGATCTTTTAGCTTCTTTCACTTGTATGTTTAGCTTCTTACCCAGGTTTGGGAATTTCTCAGCTATTATTTCTTTGGACAAGCTTTCTGCTCCATTCTCCTTCTCTTCTTCCTCTGGAATACCTATAGTCCTTATGATACATTTCCTAATGGAGTCGGAAATTTCTCGGAGAATTTCTTCATTTCTTTTAAGTCGTAGTTCTCTCTCCTCCTCCATCTGAAGCACTTCTATAGAAAAGTTCTCTAGACTGCTGATTCTCTCCTCCATAATATCAGCTCTGTTGTGCAGGAAGTACAGATTTTTCTTATCATTGTGTTTTTTATCTCTAACATTTCTGATTGTTTTTTCTTTATAGTTTCTGTCTCTTTTTTGAAGAAGTTCCTGATATTGATTGAACTATCTGTTTTTTCTTGTAACTTGTTTGAGTTTTTTTATGATAGCTATTT